CATCCTAACAGAACCTAATATACCTGTAAATATAAATAAACTACATACCTCCCCATAAACAATTACTACGTTTAACTATTTCTGTATATTATTTACAAATATATTTTGACCACTATTTTGTACTACCTACGTTATCTCTTACTTCTCAGCAACGGCTTTAACATCCAGTGTAGAGGCTAAATGGCATAATGTACTTTTATTAAATTATTGCACGTAAAATAAAGTAATCTCCAGTCGAACATCATTGGGATTGAAAATTTACAATCAATGTAAGTATATTTTTCCAAGTAAGTAGTAAAAGTAAATTGACAAAACTAGTGACCTTTCGTAAAAGTATATCGTCATTTAGCTATGTCATACACCACTGCTTCGAATACTTTTTCAATTTTAAACATTGCAAAATCACAGTTCAAAACTTGAATATATTCATCAAAACCCTGTGTGTCAAATTGGCAATACCTAAATTAGAAAAAAATTAAGTCTATTTAAATTAAAAACTACACCAACAAAAAATTTAATTTAATTTAACGTTTAGTTTAAATTAAAAATTAATACACATTTTTTAAACATTTTGTTGAATTTAAAAAGTTTATTTTCTTTTTTTTTATAAATACTAGCCTACTCTTTTATCAACTCAAAACTATATAATGTTTAATGTTTATACAGTATTTTTCTAGTACTTCATTGAAATATTTTCTCACTAAAAAAAAAAAAGAAACAATTCATACCAAACCAAACCCAATATATTTATTGAAAACAAAATCGATTGAAATGTATGGAATTTTTTCATCAGGTCTAAAAAATCTCATTAGTTATTTATTTATTTTTTTCATTTTTTTTTTTTTTTTGTGTTATTTAACTCAAAAGCTAAAACATTAATACATTTTTGTTGGACTATGGCGTTTTCATATGATGTAGCAATAAACATAAATATCTATTTCATTTCCAATTAACTATTAATTCTTCAAAATAAATTAGCATATATACTACTCGTGGTAATTTATTCAGAATTTCACAAATTGGAAGAGGGGGCATGTATTTTATATTAATCATAAATATACAACTCAAAATTATTACTCATTAATTTTAGAAAATCAATTACAAAGGTACAACCAAAAAAAAAAAATAATAATACATTATTTTAATACTTAGCTAATTTAATCCTATCCAATTCTATCCTCTGATAGTTATTTTATTTTAAAGGTAATCATGTATAGGTAAAAGTAGACAACTGAAGACTTCATCTCCTATACATATTTTATATATCAGCATGAATCAGTTTAGAAAAAAAAACATACTTTTAAATCTATCAACATTAGATTTCAACCTATTTTTTTTTTTATGTAAATCACTCAAAGTTTTAAAAGAAGATAACAGCTAGTTTTAAATCAGAAATAATTGCAGTTGAAACTTTGAAATTATAATCGATACACCTACATTTTGTTCAAAATACTTATACAATCAGTTATTAGATTAGATAACATGGTATATACATAAACAATTTATTTACGCACTTACATAGTGTGTATAATGTATATGTATATTTTTACTTCTTGGTGACTTAGTACAATTTAATATTATGAGTTATGAGTTATGACAAATAAAATTATAATGAGTACTTACTTGCTTATGTTCAATAAACAATAACAATGTTTATTCAATAAACGTATTGAGTATACATCGCATTTATATTTTTTTGAAAGTCGACAAGGAAACATTTTGTGTGTACTTATGCATATTACATATGATCTAGCTATTATAAGGTAGGTAGCATTAATTTTGTCACTTGTCGACCTCGAAAAAACATCTTAATTATATTTTAGACTTTTAGAAGAATACAATAAACATAGTATAATAAGCATGTAAACACAATATTAAATTAACTTTTAGATTCTGAGCAGAGAGAATTTATTGATTTTTCAATGAAATCTATTTTTTATTTTTATAACAGGAAACACTTTTTCAAGTAGTAAATTATCCGATCGTATAATTTGAGTAAAGTTTTTGATAGATAACTGGATCTAGTTTATACTCAGAGCCCAGAGGAATCGAAAGTTAATTGCTATACAATATTTAGTAAATTTATCTCGTCATTGAGTGGGCATTATAATAAATGTATGCGTGAAACTTGAATTCAGTGATAAATCACTGTATACGATAAAAAAAAATTCTGATTAAAGACGATATAACTTTTTGGGTACCAAGGTTATATGTAAATTTATATTATTGAAATAATATTGAAATTTGAATTAATGGTGGTATTTTTTTTTCTTCCTCAATTATTTAATAGGAATGAAAAATTTCAATTTTTACTTCCTTAAGTACCAACTGATTTTACTAGGTACCAGAAAACCTACTCAATTACGACGTCTACTCAATATCTGCTATAAGGCATAATGGTAATCTAAGTACTTGATAATTTTTTTTTTTTTATACTTTGTAATAAGATTAATTTTAATAATAAAAATATTATTTTACAAAAATTATAGCAATTAGTAAAATATAAATAATAGACAGAAATCAAATTAGATTCTGAGCAGAACGATTGATTTTACAATGATATTATGTATTATTTTATTTTAGTTTCTAAAGACGCTTTTTCTATATAGGTACAAAATTATCTAATAATCAACTTTGAGTAAGGTTTCTGAATTTCTGATAATAAATTGCATTTAATTTGTATTTTGGTATTAAAAGTAGAAATGTCTTAATACTTTCTAAATAAAATACGAACATTTGTCATAATTTTTATATTATTATTGAGATAATTGTTTAGTCTAAAAAAATTATACCATCATCTCCTTTTTAGAATCGTCTTTCGATAAACGATTATAGGTATTATAATGATTCAAAGCTAACACATCCATTGCAAAAACCAAATCAATGATAAGATATCCCACTGTACGATTATTGACCAATATAAATAGAAACCTTAATTTGTATTTTAACCTAATCAATACCACGATTGTATAAAATTACAAAATTATTATTTCTACAATCCTCAAATAATAACGTGAATACTGAACACTATAAGACTATTGTATACAATCGTGGTGTTTTGTCACAATAAAGTGCAATGCCACCAGTCCGTGTGGTATATTATGGTGTTTTTTTCAAAAGAGGACATTCAAACTCAGACCTGACCATCATCATCAGGCGCCACAGCGAGTATAATATTTTATATACGACAGCAATCAGCCCCCCTTGAGATTCGATTTTTTTGTCGGATCGCAGCAATATAGCCGAGAAGGTTGAGAACAAATGAAAAAAAAATGGCCTCGCTTAGATATTTTATACCATTGTGCGTGCGTACAAGTGTGTGTGTGTGTGTGTGTGTGTGTGTGATATGATCTCCCACCGACAAGTGGCGGCGCCTTAAAAATGAGTAACCATAGAAATGAGACTATTCTCACGAGGGATTTCAATAGGGTTTAGAATTATAGTAAATCTCTATCTACACACAGAAAAGCAATAAATCGCCAGATCAATATAATCTAAGGTATTATAGCCGAAAATTAAAAGTTAAAATACGATAAATGTTGATATTTATTAATTACGAGACATATACAGTATATAAGCAATGAAACAGTTTACTGATAAATACATAATATACGCATTTCAGTTTAATTTGAGTAGACAATGAATATTATTTAAGTAGACAACTATATGTATAATCAAAAATAATCTGCAGAACACCACCATTGACATATTTTTGTTAAGAGAATGTGAAAGGATTGAATGAAAATACCTTACTTGCAACAGACATCTGAACTCACTTTACCAACTACCGCAGGATTCATTAAAACTATAAACATCTAAAAAATATATAATTGGTAGTGTTTTCGGGAATTCGTAATGGAAAAGAATAAAGCAATGAAAAATAAGTTATTGATTATATGAAAATCCTACCTAATGACTAAAAATTATATACGATAACGTGGAGCTATAATTTTAGATGAGAAAAAAACTTACATTATGGGCAAGGTAATTATATAGGTATTTATTAAAAATACCCATGTATTAAGGAGCCCATACATAATAATATAATATACAATAAAAACATGAATCCATGTCGATTAAGATATTAGATACATACGGCATACCTAATAAGTATATCCTACTAGTAATTATGAAAATATATAGGTACAAGTTACTTTTTCTTTGAATATATCGACCAAGTAGATTATTACTCATAAAAATATAATGTAAAATATTAAGCATATACGAGCTATGAAATGAAATTATGACAGTAAGGTTCCATTAAAATTTATATTAAACTATTACAATATTTAAAATATTTGTAGATCAAAATTTTATTTAGTTAAGTGTTCTGATTTGAAATATCATGTTCAAAGTTCGTATTGGGCTTTCGTATGTACTAGAAAATTTAACTATGTACATAGTAGGTACCGTACGATATAATTCGTAGATAATACGAAAAAAAAATTATATTAACTTTTATCGAGAAAACTTAATCTTATACTTATATTTTAAATTTTTAAACTTATAGAAATTAACATACACTTGTCTATAAATGTTTATACTGGACATACGAAATCGATCATTAATTTTAGCAATTTATAGCTGTTTTCGCATTGAGTATATAAAACTTACAGAATATAATATTTATCACTTTATCAATGGCGTACGCAGAAATTATTTCATGGTGGGGTGGGGGTATTTTTAGCAAAAACATAATAATTCTATTTTACAATATAAGTAATTACAGTCATATTTTTTCATTGGAGGAGGGGGGAAACCCCTAAGCATCCCGTCGATACGACACTGGTCACTGGTGTTTATTGTTTTTAATGTTTTCAAACACATTTTTGTTTTTAGTACACATCAAATAAATTCGTACTTACATCATAGCTGATATTGTACCAATAACTTAAATACAAAATAAAATTACAAATAATATTGAATTCTATGTTTAAGTCTACGTTACCACGGGACAAGGATTTAATACGGCCCAACAAGATACAAAAAATTTAACTTACATATTCTGATTCGACTAATTCATTGTATTCCGACGATGCATGAAAGACTGCAAGAGATTTGTACTGCGCCACCTACAAATCGGGTTTCTATGTTCTGTTCATATTATAAAAACTCATAATTATTATTTTACGAATAACGACAGAACACAGGTTAACTTCATCCACCGCGAAACACCCTCTACTGACAAGCCACCGCCCATATATAGGTACATATATACATATATACTCTGCACCAAAATTATCCAAATTACACTGATATAACGAGTATGCTAAACCATTGATTAATTAAACAAAAAAAAAAAAATTAAATAAAATTAAATATAAAAAAATTAAATAAATAAATAATAATATATCATAATTATAATATTAATATTATTTATTGTATAATTAATCAATAGCTAAACCATCTCAGTAATTAAACAAAACACGCTCACATATTCGACGTAATATATATGTATATAATATCTTTAACATGATTAAGGTACATGAATGAGGTACATATCTTTCATTCGATTTTATTTATTTATGCTGAATGAAAATAAAAAACTATTTTTAATGGATTTATTTTTGCATATTTGAATAATAATCAGTACATAAATGCATGCATATTTAGTACGTTTTTAGTGCATATAATTCCGGGCCATACAGTTATAATGATTAAAATTATTAGTATACATAAATGCATTATACATATTTTACGAGTATTATATAAATTATTAATACGTATATGGTATATGTATTTCTAAATAGTAGATACAATGTCGAATGTGTTAATTATTTTTTATCATCACGATGACGTGTCGATGTATAAAAAGATTTTCTATTAATTTTAAACAGTTGAATGACAATTTATCTAAGTGAATCATTAAAAATATTTTTTCTATAAACTGTACGACTTTTAAGAACACCTTTGATGTACCAGGCCGACACTGTCCAAAATATTAACTATATAAGGTGATCCCAAAGGAAAACTTATGATATTCTTGTACAATAAAAACACACATCGTTATAAATCCGATACATTTATCGCTCTGCTCAGAATCTCAAACTAAAATATGACTTATACAGTCTACTTTAAATACAAATCACGCTGTATTCATGATACACATATATATTTTGTATATATATAAAGTAGATATTTATTTTGGTGAAGAGCCATTTTTGTCCAGTAGTGTCTATATTTATTTTGTCATACTTTCACTCAAAATGGTAGTTTTATATGTTTTATTCGCCGTTATAGATAATACTCGTAATATAGAAATGTCAAATGAGTGCCACCAATCAGTAAAACGTCATTGTTTCATGTAAAACCCGTAAAAATCATTTATTTAAATTGATAAATAACAAAGTGAATAATTGTTAATAAATTGTCAATAATTTAAAAAAAAAATTTTATTCTTAAAAAATATTAAATATAAGAAGTATTATTATCATTATTTGCATTGCATCCGCTTATGCACTTGCCTACAAAATATATTGAATTAAAATTATATGCATAAATAATTATGCTTTGTAAAAAGTATTGTTAACTAAATTACAAACTTAAAAGTACCGATAATGTTTTAGAGTTAAGTAGACGTATAATACCTACTACTATTATGTAATTAGGTAGCTTGTTTAAATTTTGAATAATTTTCTAAGTTTAATACATCTTCGTAGTACACTTTTAGTTTGTAGGATTATGAAAATTATATAAATTATGCTATACATGTAAAAGCTCAGTTTGGAAAATGTAAATATCATTAGCAGATTAGCTACATAAAATATATAAATAATAAGGAATATCAAAATAATCACATTAAAATGTGCTCTAAGCCAGTACACATTTATTGCTTTTAGAATTATAAGCAACGTGCACGACTCGCATAATATCTTAATACGTCGTAACATTAGGTAAGTACCGCTACTACACGGCCAATGGTCATAACTAGGGCTCGGAAGTTGATGCATTTTGCATTTTTTTTTTTTTGGAACTTTTTAGACGATGCTCTCCTGGCCACAAATCTGTTTCATAAGCATGTGAATCTAAATAACTAATTTTTATTTTGCATTTTTTGGTGTTTATTACTTTTTAAGTCATTTTTTGAAATTTTTAGGTCATTTTCCCACATTTTTAGTTATTTTTACTGATTTTACACTAGTTCATTTCTTATCGTTTCTTGTTGACCATTATGCCGATAACTTAAACCACAGACATTTATAAAACAAATATTTTTAATTTTTTAATTTTCCTATTTTAAGGACATTTTTGTCATTTTGATGTCATATTTTGAATTTTATAGTAAAATAGAGTAAAATATTTAAAAAAAATATATTTTTATTAATATTTGTAATTTTTTTAGGTCATTTTTTTAGGACATTTTTGCCATTTTTATAGTCATTTTTTATTGTTTTTATGGTCATAAACTTCCGAGCCCTAGTCATAACGGTACTTAGCAAAATAACGTAATGATACGATTCGTAATTATTGCAAATAAAAATTTTAAAAAATGGTGAGAGGTTTGAGGCTCCCTTAGATGAATCAATTTTAGGTAGTAAAAAACAAATTAAATCATAATATAGCAGATAATAGGAGCTGGAGACTGCGGTCTGATTCGATTTTCAAACACAATAATTAACTATAATCGAATAACGGTTAATCGATATAACACAATTATCAATCGACATTATTGTAGACTGTAGTTAAAGTTAAAAAGTTTCCTGTAGAATACAAAATTATGTTTATATTCCAAAAATATCATCCTGTTAAGTAAATATTAATAATATACAAAATGAGTGTGTGTATCAATATCATATTAGAAGTGGGTGTATAGGTGTATTAATAAGTAATAACTATTTTCAATTTTTTAAGATACCATAAAAACAATGTGTGATGAACTTTATGACTTGTATTCGATATTTATGTTTTTCCTCAAAATCAAAAATATTTTACATAAATCGAAAAAAAAGTAAATAACTATAACTTTCTATAAATAGCACACAAAGATTTAAAGTATTTTTAAAATTATATCATATAAATTGCTAAGGAAAAGTTGTTACTGCTCAAGAATTAAAGATATAAATATATAAAAAAAATACACACGCATTATTATTAAATCACGATGTAAAATCATTGCCCAACTCAAAATCTAAGAGTACAATTTTTTCAAAACTCTTTCAAAATCAACAAATACCTTAAATAACATACATATTTTTAAAATTAAATTTAAACATGAGATAAGTACCGAACTACACTTATATACTTATTACAAGGTATCTAAATAAATATTGGTGAAATAGTCTAAATTTAAACTTTTGTAACATTGCCTGAATACCTCTAGGCATATGGTATTTATACAATAAATTTTAGTGGTTAAAAACTATTAAAATTATTTAAGAGGACGTCGTACCCGCATATGTTGTCTCCGTCTTACAAATGCGTAACATGGCAAATAGTACTCTCAGAAGATCACGTTTAGCTCCTTCAGCTTGAAAATTAGAATGAATTGACCTCTTTTAAAATTTTAAAGTGAGATTATTATCTAGGGCAGCGGTTCTCAAACTGTGGTACGCGTACCACTAGTGGTACGCGAAAGACTACATGATGGTACGCCGAACTGCGGAAGGCCGCATGGTGGTAGGATTTTTAATCTTCAGTGGTACGCGACTGATTGATAATATACTTAAGTGGTACGCGAAATAAAAAGTTTGAGAACCGCTGATCTAGGGCATCTCATAGGCTTTTAATTATATTTTAATTTTAAAGCAAGTTATAAGTATTTTAAAATTGTAAATTGCTTGCACGTCTTAAAACACACATAACTCGCTTTAAAATTAAAATATAATAAAAAGCCTAAGAGATGCCCTAGATAATAATCTCACTTTTAAACTTCAAAAGAGGTCAATTCACTCTAATTTTCAATTTAAAGGAGTTAACCGTGATCTTCTGAACGTAATATTTGCAATGTTACGCATTTGTAAGACGGAGATAACATATGCGGGTACGACGTCCTCTTAATACATGTTTGAATTAATATACAGTAGAAACCGTTTATAATGACATACCGGGTGTAATGACCTCAGATTGCAAGTTCCGGCAAAACTCCTATATTGTATGTACTAATTTGTATCGATTATAATGACTATACAGATGTTATGACGTTTATTTTTGATTTTATTGGAAAAAGGTTTTATCTATAATGACTTTATAATTTAATCGAAGGTCTTATAACATAGTCTATGTGAAAACCGCGAAAGTCAAAATCGCGAAAATAAAACAGCAAAAATAAAAATCGCGAAATATTTTAACAGCGAAAACACTAATAGCAAAAAGTAAGAAAACCTATATATACGTAGAATAACGTATATCGTATATTGATAACGTATATCTTTATAGGCTATTTGATAAAATATATATTATAAATAGGGCTGGAATTATAACTTATCTAATTTATCGGCGAGATTACGGAGTATAATTTAATTTAGACTCTAGATCTAGAGTTTCCACCACTTTTAACTTTAATGCATTTGTTTGTTTTATGCATTTTTATACGAATAAAATTCAAACTAAGATTACAGATTTTTTTAATACACAGTAAATTTCATTTTAAAATACATAATAATTAAATGTTAAAAAATGGTATTATTTTTTTTCTATATGAATTAAATTTACGATTTATATACATAAATATAATATAATAACACATTAAAAATGTTATTGTAATAAAATATTTTGTTCATTGCATGTATATAAAAGAGTTTTTAATTTAATTTTTGTCATTTTGGTTATAATGACAATCGGTTATTATGACCAATTTTGACTAGTCCCTTGAATGTCATTATAAACGGTTATAATGCTTATTGCTTAAGACAATAAGCAGTATTTTTAAAATTAAAAATAATCATTTTTGTTTAATTATAATAAGAATTTATAGTAGAATAAATTTGCATTAAATTATGTGCTCCCTATCCACACACAAACAGTACTTACTGAGCGAATAAAATATATAGGTGCACCTAGAATTACCTTTTCTCACTAAAAAAGTTTGTGCCACCACTGCTCATATCTCATTAATCTCATCTAAAATTGCAATATCATAAATCAGCTAACATATATCAGATAATATTCTTAATTTTAAGTTTGATGATAAGTAAGTAAATTTACTTTAATACAAAGGCTGGCTAACGAGGTTGGTTCTGCTGAACAAAAATTTACTATATAGCGCAAGGCTCAGAGAGAGAGAAGACAAATAGTGTGATAAAATACTCTTAAAAAGTAAAACCATTGAATTTTACATTAATTCATTATAAAAATATTCATATATTCATACAACATATAATATCTTTAGGTATGATATTTTTATCACTAAGTGTATTTCTCACTTTCTCAATAACCTTACCTTGATCTCGGAATAAACTTGTCACTTGTAAAATAGTCATGAATTGGAAATAAAACTGTATTTTCATAAAATAGCCATTTGTTTATAACATATTATAGTCTTATAGGAAGATGTTTGGGTTACTTGGTTTTGGAAACAATGCAATTTTATCTTAGAATAAATGAATGTGATTAATTAAAATAACAAAAATACAATTTTATTGAGTTTTATCTTCACAAAAACCAAGCTAACATTAACTAATTGTACACATTTATTTTTAAACTGAATAGTCATCAGAATAAAAAGAATATTACAGAGTAGGATTAAAATAGATCAAATTTAATCAAAAATAATAACTATTAAATAAAATAATAGTTTTCTATTAAAAATATAACAATGTACTAGATAATAATTTTACAAGTATTTTGTAAATACCAAAGTTTTTTTTATAATAATAATTACATTAATAAATTTTACTCCTTAGGATGATAAGTTGGAGTAAATTTTATTCTTGGTCCTCGATCATTAATTGCATACCTTAATAATGGTGGTTTACGAATATAAATACCTCGACTTTCAGGTGTCCAAGCTTGTATATCACATATATCATTTTCAAATGGAGTCACAGCAACCCATCCTAAAACGAATATATACATAAATTATTATTATTTTGCTTAATTTATTATTAAATAACAAAGATATTAAAAATATAAATATAATTAAATTTAAACAATGAAATAAATTCCACAAACATTGAGTAGCAGCACTGAAACATATGCATCTCAAATATAGTTGTTAATAATAATATCTCTGTGAAACAGTGACTCTTGTAAGATACTATAATAAACCTGAATACATGAGAATTTATATCTTAAAGTTCATAAAAATATTATTATTTTTTTAAAAAAATTTACTTTTATTGAAATATACTTTTTTGCCATTTATGATGGAACCAAAAATAATTTTTATTTTAGTAATTTAAAAACAATTTAATGCAACAGTCTATACCAGAGGTGGCCACTTACCTTAACTTTGGGAGTCGAAAATTACATACTAAAAGCACCGCCGCCGTGCCAATCTATACCTAATAACGACTGTAATGATAACGAAATCGATGGCAATAAAAATGCTATCTAACGTTTTAACGATTCAAACAAATTTTAAATTTATTAATTTTAGTCTAAATTTAGTTCAAGAACCGCATGCGGCTCGCGAGCCTCGTTGTGGCCACCCCTGATCTATACAAATACTCTAAATCTATAAGAATGAATCCGTTATTTTAAATAATATTAATTAAAATATATAGTATATAATATTAATTATTGGTTATATTTTGCTGTAAAAACTAAAATTATATGTTAAACGTTGTAATTAGGAATTTAGAGTATTAAAAAAAAAAATTTAAAAAAATTACTTTAAATTTTTAATTACAACTTTTAATATATAATTTAAGATTCTACATCAAAATATAACCAATAATTAATATTATATACTTTATATTTTAATAAATATTTTTAAATATAATAAGTTCATTCTTATAGAGAAAGTGTTTTTTATTATTTTTTTTTTGCCTATTAATATTGGTAGTCGCGGACCACAAAAAAATGAGCTGAGGGCCATATTATGTTTGACATGCCTGCTATAGACTATAGTGATAAATTAATTAAAATAAAGAGTTATTAAAACAAAATAAAAAATCAGAAATATAGCAAACAAATACACAAATTTAAATTTATATTTACGGTCCTCTACCTGTTGATGGCAAAAAGAAAAAATGATCTTACCACAATGTCACCCATTGATAAAATTTATAAATTATTAATTTTAAACTACATCAAATAAAAATAACCATAGAATAAAGTTAACATAAAATAAATTAAAACATATTTTATATTATAGAAACTTAATACACTTTTAATGTAAAAAGCAATAATTACTATAACTTTTACTTACTAAAACTTAATAAACATTTAAAAAAAAAATTAAGTTATTGAAATACGAATATACATATCTATAGATTAAAATTATCAACTATTAACATTATATATTTATATATACAATAAACCTAGTTATTATTACTCACCTGCAGATGACAAAACAATATCAGCACAACTAGTTTTTTCATTTATACCAGTCAACTGAATTGGGTTCTTGTAAATACTCAGTCCTGGCCACTTAGACAGCCTTTCTATACTACCACACGGAACTGCTAATAAATCTGTACCTAGAAGTTTCTCATACAACTCATTGGCATCTTCTGTATTACAAACAGTTATTGGAAGGGTATGAGCGCTAAAGACAGTAAAACGAACAAATTTAGCTCCTGTCTTCAAACAGTCAATTCTACCAAGACCACCAACAAACAGTGTTTGCAAAGGTCTTAAACTGAATGTTCTCGGTTTGACAACAGTGGTAGGTAAGGTCATCATCAGCTCTTCAGTAGTCAATAAATTGATAGATTGATCTGGATGAACAACGCCTGGTGTATCATACATAAATTTACTGCCTTTAAATTGAGGATCATTTTCGTCAAAGCCCAAAGTACTACTAGTAACACGTTTTGTGTTAACTTTTATTTCGTTAGTAGTAAATGGATCCTTTTCATTTTGTTGTGAAGTTTCATTTACACTTGATGGTTTATAAAAAGTAAGACCAATTTGACCTGTAATATAATTATTATAATTATTAGAAAACTTTAAAATACATTCAAATCAAAAATAATTAAATTACTAACCAATAATTGAAGGCAAATCATTCATTTTTAATTTTGAAGAACGCCTTTGGTCAGCTTCTAGTTGTTGTTCTAAAATTCTTTCTTTTCTTTCTTGTTGAAGACGTTGAGTCCTCACATACAATCTCCAATTAGATGGTCGCATTATAGGAAACTTTTAAATAAATAGAATTAACAAACAAACAAATGAAGTCAATAATTTTAACCTTACCTTTAGTAGATTTAATGTAGTACCAGGCCAAGGTGATGTAGTTGCTCTTTGCACCAAATCTATAGCTTTTACTTTACAATAATCTGATTGCAACAAAGTATTAAACATTGTTGATTTTCCAACATTAGTACATCCAATCAAATAAACATCACCTTTAGTTAGCCAAAGTGAATGTAATTTGTTAATTAATTCTTCGATGCCAAATCCTGTTTTTGCACTAACAACAGTTACATGTTTAACATTGATTTCTTTTGGAATGCTTTGAACCAATGATTTCTTTACATGTTCAACCCATCCAGGGAAATCACCAGGTAACAAATCTAATTTATTGCCTACAACAACTACTGGCTTATTAATACCAATACACTCCACTAAATTTGGCCAAATACTGCAAGGAAAATCTGTCAAATCCACCATTAGAATGATTAATGCTCGTTTCTTTTTAATAGGATACAATAGCTTTGGATATTCGACAGGGTCAACTTGTACAGATAAAGCTGTATTATATTTTTGTATGAAATGGCATCGTTGACATACCATTGTTCGGAGATCTTCAGGTTCACAGTGGCAAAACAACTCGCTTGGTAAGTAGCCAGGTATTGATGAGTTTTGACAATGCAATAATGCTCCACAGCCACCACACGGTATATCACTGATCTGTAGAGATGAGTCAGGTGTACCATACTCTGAAGTCCATGAAGGAATGCTGTTTTCCTCTTCTAGATTTCTCTCTTCGTAACATTCATAATCGCTCATCCAGTTTTTTGTCATCAACTCGTTCAGCTCATCTGAAATGTTACAAAATTATAATAGGGCAATGTCATCCTAAACAATTCAAGAAAAAAGTAATTTCATCATAATGATGGTCAACTAACAATCATAGTTTACTTCATTGTCTTCATTGTCTTCTGCCTGTTTGCCAACATACTTTTCTGTAATGATTTTATTAACAATACTATACGGGAAATTATGTGGTCTATCTATTGACATTTCTGCAGCTCTGTGTTCTTCGGTTTCGTCTGCTGCAACATACCCATCCAAGTATTGCAATGACACAGGCTCGACGTCACACTTCATTTCCTCAAGCCTTTGCTTCTTGAACTTGTCTCGCATGTTAGCCCAGTGCTTCGTGGTCTTTTTGCTCTGCAGCACAGAGTTGTACACGATTCTGTCCAACACGTCATTCTTAAAAGCCGGCGACTGTCCATAAGCACGACATCGCCGCTTCAGGTGAGATCGCAACAACCGACAGGCGAACATTACACGAGTACTTGACGTCGTCGTCTAAATTCGCATAATTATATGATTCTAAAGTAATATTTATACGTAAAATACGCTGTTGAACTTAAGACAATACTTCTATATTACAACAAACACCATACATTAGATAGAAGTAATAGAAGTACCCACGCCGGTCTATTGAGAATTATATTTAAATATAAACACTTATCATTATTCCGCCATTCCAAAAAAATTTGAAAGTTGCCTGATTGTTATCAATTTATTGCGGACCACGATGTTCTTTATCACTTTATTACTATTCACTATCGGGAACCGGCTCATTAAAATTACAAATAACACAAAAATACAAAATACAGCAAAATTCAATATTTTAATAACTACTCGAATTTAGATTTTAGAACCAAAAAACAGTAAGCGCAAAATTTGGCGTGAAACACGTCTAGAATCACGTTATTTAACTTATGCTTTTTGGTTTTTACTTGGTAATAAATAATAACTAATAGTTATTACCCTGAACTTTTTTTTACCGCAAAGAAAAAAATAATACATTAATCATTAATGCACGGGTTATATGCTAACTATATCTCAAGAATAATACTATTTATTTTTAAAAAATTAACAATCAGCACAGAAATATATTAAAAAGATTTACAACTCCCCTAAAATCATAGTTTGTGTTAAGGAGTTTTAATTAAGTTGTAATATACCTATCTAATAAGATTCATACTTAGCTATAAACATAAACGAGTACGATTTTTTAAGTATAGGTTAAGTGCATGATGTTATGGAATTTATTTTTATTGATTTCAACTTTCAAGTATTCTAAATAGATTAATCGCCTTGAATACAAAGATTTTTATCCCAAATTGTTTAAGAATACTAGTAGGTATTTATAATTGTTTTGACATGTGTACTAAGTTGAAGCATTTATTAAAGAATATTCTATATTTCTAAAGTGAGTACTTGCATTATTTATTTCATTACTAAATTTATTTGAGTTGGAGTAAAATTTGATAATAATTATTTTAAATTTATATAGACTTTACCAGGAACCACTGGTGATATAATGAGTGTAGTTTACAGTTTGCCATTAAATTTATAGTTTACTTGTAAGTACATGGTACATCTATAAAAATAATGATTCCTAAACAAAAAAATCATTATCATCCTTACAAATAAAAAAATAAACGTTTTTCAAAAATTTAAATTTAATAACATTATTAAAAAAATAAAATAAGGATACAATTTATGTATAAAAATTAATAAATACTATATTTGGAACATTTTCAAAAATTAAAAAAAAGTTATTAATAAAAATTAACAACAATTTCTGTCATATCAAAATGCATTTAATAAATCAGATTTAATTATTCCCTGCTAAAAGTTGACTAATCAAGATAAGCCCTCAGTCAAACATATTAGTGATTTATAAATAAAAAATAGTCAAACTAATAAAATTAATAAAGCTTGCATATTTCCTCGTATAAGCAGTGAACTTAGTATGCTGTATACTATACCAGGAAATAGTTAGTAGACTCCTTACTATAAGAGAGCAGGTTTTATTTAATAACATAATTTAATAATTCACTTATTTGATACAGCCATACTTTCAATTATATGTATAATACAGATTATAAAATTAAAATAATTTTTCTTTAAAAGTTTAAACAATAGTTATGATAAATTATGTTCTTGTATTAGTTTTCAACAAGCTTATTAAGTACATCTTAAAAATAATCATACAAATACACATTAATAGTATAATATTATTTCCACCATCCACAAATTATTGCCAATTATTTTCATTGTATTGACAATTGTTATTTAAATAAAATATACATATTCCATCAAAATAAAAATTGTATGAATCAATTAAAACATAAAAATATTCAATAACATATAAATAAATATTTATAAACATTGTCCCATTTCATACAAGCATACAATGAATCAATAATGAATTAATGGTCCCTCAAACACGAATTAGTGGCTAATTATTGGTCAATTACATTTTATTGAACCATTAAATATATCAATTGTTCGTGCAAACTGGTAATGGTCTAAATACATAAGTACTATAAAATAAAATTTCAAGTTTCAACAAATATATAATGGTCTATCCTAAAAGTATCATAATATATGTTTAAATGCATTAACAACTTTTTTTAAGGACGTATAGATTGCACTGTGCTTTTTAGAATAGTAAGCAACTTAATGTAAGTAAATAAATAAATAATAAATATATATATATATATATATATATACATATATTATATAATATTAAAAGTCAGTTAACATAAAATAAGTATTTTTAAAACAATTATTAGCTATAAATACTATAAACAACCTCATGTGTTAGTTTTTATGATTTGTGTCTTAGTAGAATTTTTAACAATGGGCTTTTTAGACTTAGATAGTTTTATTATTGGACTCTTGTGCCACATTTCTCCATTAATATTTTTATCTTCACATACACACAAAAATAATGTATCGATTACAACCTGTTAAATGAAAACAATAAAATTACCTTAAATATATTTAAAATATAATTCACTATGAAATTACATTTTAATGTAATTACATATTAATATTTTTATATTTGGCTATATTAATTATAATATAGTTAAATATAAAGGTTTATTATTCTAATTGTAAAAAGACAATGTACAACAGTTGAATAAACCAAATTGTTATATAATGTTACCTCATGTAATGAAATGACACAGTGAGCAACAAAAAACGTAAATAAACATATAATGATGATCGGTATAGCATGAAAATGTAATTCTGAATTTGATCGTAAAGTGAACAATGCCAAAGAACCAATAATCAGAGTGACCAAACACTTGGCTAGGAATAATATGAAGTCACCAATACTGTTTATGGAACTCAATCTCAAAGCGTTACCAACAATAACATTCCAAGCCTGAAAACAAAAAGAATTATTTAACATTTTTCATTGTATTTATTTAATAAAAACTTTAATAATATACCCTTGAAGCAGATAAACAAAATCCTATGCCTTCCATTGATACTATGGTATATGCATTATGATTGATATACTTGAAAAAATTGTCAAAGGAATATGTACAACAAGTGCATGTCTTTTTTATACAATGGTTATCTGTTTTTGTTGAACTACTCCTGAAAAGGTTTAATTTATTCCATTAAATAAAATTGCAGTGTACAAGCATTGAATATTTTTAAATTACTTAGAATGGCATGTCGTCAATATAAGCCTGGGAATTTTAAATAAAATAATTAACAGAGATCCAAGAGCTATAGAACCCAAATGATAGAATGCCAGATTATAAATTGAAGAAAGGACAACCGATTTTTTATGTTTTCCACTGAAAAATAAAATAAGTTCTGTTAAATCAATAAATCAAAAAATTTCATTTGTAAATTACGCACTTGGTGAAATACCATTTTGCTACTGCTCCAGAAATAATCATATGTTGACATGCTAATATAAATTCAGATGACCATATTAGGCCAATTAAATATACCCACCACATATAACGTACCCAAGTAGCATCTTTAAATTCTACAGCTGAAAAACAATGATAATAACTGATAAATAATCAATGGCATATGTATATATACATATTATATTATATTATAAAAAATAAAACACACCATTGATGAATGGCAAAAAATGTTTCTCCGTCTCTTCCAAAATCAATGAACCATTGGATGTCATGTTTTGCTCAACAAAATCAGTTACTAATTTCAGTGATCTAGTACCAGGATAATCTGAAATAATTTACTTGTCTTAAAATAACTATAGCTAAACAAAACATTAATAAAACTTACTTGCTGTGGCTAAATGAAGGATTACAGCAGTCCAAAATGCATACAAGCCAAGCAGCACAGAGAATGTACACATAGGTTGCCAATATAAGGCTGGAAGTTTAGACAGACAATCAGCGGACTCGTGAAACAAAGTGGACAAAAAATTTAATCGCTTGCGCATAGCCAAAACCAACAAAAGTATAATAACCTATAATTTAAGATATAAATTAGAAACAATAAAGTCTTAAACAAAATAATTTAATTTACCGAAAATAATGAAAAAATAATAGAAAGTATTAGAAAAGTGTGTTCATTGCAAGCATCAGCACTTAATGTTTGTGCCTCAATAGTGTTGTCTAGACGCCTTTTCAAAGTAAAATATTCCCACCAAAGTAAAAACACATTTACTAAAAAATTCAAATTATATAACATAATTATTAATGTTTTCATAGTAAACACTTTAAAGTAATCAAATAACTAAATATTACCTAGAACCATCAAGCTGACACCAATCAATAAAATATAGGCTACAATTTTTGTAAGTAAATGAATCAGTAAGATAATGATGAACGTCAATACTATAAACAAAACAAGAAATATTTCATTAAAATAATTTAAATATTAAGAATAATATTATTGCAGTTTGTTTTTTTTTTTTTTTTTTAAATTTAATTTTAGGTAAAATTACATAGGATTTTTACAATACTGTTGTAAGAATTAAATACAATTAATGCTTAATTATAATGTTAAATCGATTTGAAGTTTATCAATTAAGGTATAATTTATACTATATTTATAAACATTTGGGGGGTTCTACCTTCAACAAAGAGTTTTGAAGCTGAAGCCAGTAGATGAAAGGACAGACTATTAAACTAATATTTAATTTGTTCAAATTATTTTGGGTACCATTATTTTTAAAACATTAATTTACCTAAGTTTACAACAACAACAAATATCTAAAAATTGCATAGTATACTTACCAAAAGCTAATATTGTGAAATACAACATTTGAGGCCAAGTTTTATATAAATCATTCAATATTTCTTCTGTGAAATCCCAATCATTCATCATACTGTAAATATTATAAATTAGAGGCAATGTTTGATTGTTTAATTCTTCAGGAACACATCTATTCAACACATGATGGCTTTTGTAAACTGGAAATGGGGGACAAGGCCCTAAAGATGTAGAGATAATAGTAGACTTGTGAAGCGCTTCATCAGCAGTGAAATTATTCAAATCAAAATTATAGCTATAATTATATTAAAAACACTATTATAAATAGCACATAAAAATAATACAATTATAACTATAAATAAACAATGAATTTAAAGAGGATTACCTGCAAAGTAATGATTCAGTTCGATTATAAAAATTCTGAAGATCTTCCAAATCTAATAAATTACTATCTGGACATTGTTTAACACATATTTGCATACTATGTTCAATGTTGACTGGATCTAAATAAAATAGGAACCTAAGAGCCAACAGAAATTGTATACATTGAGTACATATCAATCAATTGAAGATAATATTTTAAAGTTTACTTTTTATCTGTAGTATCCAAGTTGGAGAATTTGCCCATTTTGGAATTACCAGAAGAACCGCAAGTGTTACCAAAACTGTCATGGCCGTTAATCAAACGCAGGGGGTCGCCGTAAATAAAAGCAAATACAGCTATAAATATCTAAAAGATTAAATGAAATTAGGAAATAACACAATTAATATTTAATAGATGTTGAGTAAGACTGACTATTAATGAGTTAAAAAGTTTATGGTTTTTTACTATTATTATTATTAATATAAAAGAATATATTTACAATCTATTAGAAGTTTACAATATAATGAGTAAAAATTATGTTAGAATAAATAGATGTACGATACAACTTCAAATTATAGAATTTATTATATAGGTAAGTATGTTTTTTTTTTTTATAGATATACTATTTAATTAGAAGGCCAGTTGAATTTTAGGTAAAGTGATGCCATAAGGAGTTTACTTCTTAACTTTTAATTGAACTAGTTACTTTGGGTTTCCATTAATTTAACTACCCACTTAACTTATTTGTTTTTTAATGAACATGAAATCAAACAATCCAATTTTTACGTTAGGTTAATTTATTTTATTTTATTACATTTCAAACAATTTCATTTTCATATCAAAAAGCTAAGCTTCAATGAAAAACTATAGAAATACTGCATTAAAAGTATTTATTTTTGAGTTGGTAAAAAAATGAAGTTAACTAGAGGTTTTAATAAAAAAAAAAAATGTATTTAACTTAATAAAAATTAACCAAACATTAAATCAACTTTTAACTTTTAACATTTTCTTATTGATAAATATTAACTTAAATCAGTTTAAGAAAATCATGAGCTTGCCAAACTTTTGTTCATAGTAATAAAATCAATTTTTTAGCTACCTACCATTAGACACCAGAGAACCAAAAATGCGCACAACCATACTATGTCCGTACACCCCCTGACACGGGTTTGTCCAGGCACTTCAGGCGCGTCACGGTCGAATCCGAAGCAAGCCATTTTCGATTTGATGAAATCGGAAAACAGGTGCAACGGTCAAACCGTGGGCGACGAGTCTATTAAGATTGAAAAGAGGAGTGTTCTGTGTTAAGTGTTGCACTTCGTTCAGAAATTTGAGGTAAAAATGACGGACAATGAAAATATTAGTAACGCAGCAACAGGTGGCCGGCCACGGCATTATCTTGCGGCAACATCTCGATAGATATTTCGAATTTTCCACGGAGACGTAAATAAAGGACAATTGAGCAGCACGTGACAAGCGGCAATAAATTCTGACTGACGTCGACGATGGAAATGACGTTGACAGTTGACTGACGACAACAATATTGATTATTATAAAATTGAATAATTAAAAGTATGTACCTGTGATCTGTGTGCTATCTAAATTATGATATAACAAAATACAAATTTAGAAATCTCAATAATATAAACAAATAACAATTATCATTATTGTTGTTATTATTACGAAATTATATACAAACAATTATGTTGATAACTTATCAACATATTGTTATCAGTCCAAACTACGGGCTGTAGATCATAGTATGTTGATCATTATGCTAAATGCTAAATATACTATAGATCGTCGGCTTCTGTGACCTGTTCAGCGGAACTTGAATAGTACCCACCGAAAGTAATCTATAATACTTAATCTTGGCCATAAATCTTGTTGCCTACAATATTATTATTTTAATATAACACATTTACACCAACAATAATGAAAAACGTAGGCAAAATGGATTATACTCTGTAGTAAGTACCTACATTAAGTGTTCAATGAGTCACTGTTATAGGTGTGTCAACATTTGGATTCAATGTTCCATCATTGTATACGAAAAACGATTTTAAGCGAATACGACCTGTCAGAATATCAGCCTAATCACTAAGTATATTTTATGATATATATATATTATAAGATTATTGAAATCATTTATTTTACTTTTAGTGTTGCAGTAGATTGATACAATTTGTACCGAAAATATTGCATTTATTTTATTGTTATTATTTAATTATTATTTATATCTTTTATGTGTTTATACTATATAACATATTATATTAACTTACATAACTCAAAGTTCGATAACATCTTTCGGTAAGTACCGTATAACAGTAAGAAATAGATTCATATTACCTATAAATAGATAATATTTAAAAAATAAAATAAAAAATGTAATTGTGTATACTAAAATTCATAATATAAAATACATAAAAGTATAAGTTCCGGCGAATAATATTTTTAAATTTAAAAAAAAATAATGAACATATCATTATTTATATTTTAAATAAGTAATTTCGTTAAAATTGAAACTTTAAATACCTATAAACAATAATTAACTTTACAATTTTTTAAACTAAATGATTTTAGTATGAAGTATAAAAAAAACACTTGAAAAATCTTACATTAAAAATTAAAATTAAAATTTTTATGAACAAAATAATTTACATATTTTTTAGTTTTTATAAAGTTTATCAAGATTCTGACTTAACGCTTATAAAAAATGTATGTCTACACAACCTGATTTTATTGTGTTAATAACTATGTGTAATACCTTCCCAATATTTTATTATGTTTATGCCACTTATAATGATATAAATATATAATCATGGCGGAATTGCCTGAATTAGAGCTTAGAGGATTGTCATTTGTTAGTGTACCTGGTTTTAAATTTTTATAGAATAATATATTTTAATAGAAATACCTAATATCATCAGGGGCGTATTTATGTAGGCGAAGGGGGGCAAACGCCTCCGGATGCCAAATTATAAAGAGGGCGATATACTAGAAAACCCACGATGTGTACAAATTTATCAGTCCCTCCCTGATGTTTTTTTTTTTTTTTTTTTAGGGGAAAAAAGGGCGCTAAAATCGTAAATACAGCTCTGAGTATCATGTATAGCGAATGACAATTAATAATCATATTTAAGTATACCAAAAAAATAGGTAAAATATTAATATATAAATTATTATTTTACCCGTTAGCTCTAATTGTAGTATATGTATATCACAGTTATAATTTTTTTCGAAGCAAAAATTAGTTTATCTAGTATTTATTAGTGTAGTATACTGTATATTATACGTGTATTATATATAAATTATGATTAATAGTTTAATATCTGGTATTTGGTTATGCGGCAATTCAATTTCAAACCCTAAATAAAGTATTTTAAAACAATGACCGTCCTTCAACATAATTTATAATTTAAAACTGTATGCTAATTTATAATTATTGTTATAAGACATAGGTCTTCAAAAGTGTAATAAAAAAAAAAATACTATGATAACTAAATACTAATGATACATTTATCCAAACAAATTTTAATTTTTAAATTTAAGATAAATTTTTAAAGCTAAGAAATTTATTGCATTAGATAAACATCGTTCACCACGCCACTGCAGTGGCCTTGGATTCAATATCAACAGTGGTAATGGTTATATATGTTGTCAGTGGCGTATTTTTTTTATTTTTTTTTTAGAATGATGGTGGTGGGGGGGGGTACAGAAACAATCGCAGAAAAAATCATGGGTTGGTGTGGCTAAAATTATTTTTATTTATTGACTTTTTTTTTTTGTTGTCTATGCGCCTCTTTTGTGGAAAATTTCTAAATCTGCCCCTGTCATCTATGAGCAACGGGGACAATTCAAAGATTTTACATTTCTATACGATGGAAAACCGATAATATTTTACAAATATTTAAGATTCAAAGTTATTGAATATGATATCAAGTATTAGTGCGCAAGTGCATTTTTGCGTAAATAGGTATACTGTTATAAGCAGTCGAAGTTTTATAATCCGAAAAATATTTTACCTACGAGGAATCAACATAATGAATTATCTGTTGATACACTTGTAATAAACTGACACTGCCACTTTGCTATACAATGTTTGAATATTATATTACTTATATTTTACTATGATTTAGCATTAACGTAGTAACGTGTTGTTGCCGAACCCAAATTTCGTCATACTGTTTTTAGTGTTTTTATACAAATTTAGTACTATATTATTTTATTACCGAGATAATGATATTATATTTGAAAAGCTAAAAACGTTGCTAAGACAGCGCATTGATTCCAAAAGAAACCGAAGGATTCCCTACAATCTATAATGTAGATTCTACATCGATACATTTTCACTATTTTCAGCTATATATATATATTATTAATTATTATTATTATTATTATTATTTTATAATATAATAGGCTTTAACAACTAAGGTTATTAGCCTTTTGAAATTCTATATAAATTAATTTAAAGTATAATTTTTTTTTAAAACATTGGCATATTGGTTAATAATAGAGTTTATAAAAATTATTTACAATATTAACTTTGGTTAGAAGTGTTAGGATTTTTTAGATGTTTTCTTCTACTTTGTACTTGTATTGATAAAGTATTTCTTGTATTTTAAAATTCTGGACATTCTTGGATGGTATTTTTTATAAATATTGGTTAATACAACTAGACATTTGTTGCAAATGAATTCTGAATCTTTACTTATGAGGTATGAGATGGGTTAAGAAGATATGCCTGATTTCCTGGCGTTTTTTAAATAATGTAGAATATTCGTGCAATCTTATAATTAGGGACCGGATTTATATGCAAATGCATATTTGTATTGGGATAAGCTTTTTGAAATCTGATGAAAATTGTCCCCCATTTAGATCACTCTTATTAAAATAACACTAATTTTATTTTGCATATTTTGCATATTTCAACGTTTTTACCTATTAAATGCATATTGAATGCATATTTGTAGTTTTAAAATGTATATTATTATTTATAACACATATATTCGTTTTTCGTCGTATTTTCACGTTCACAGCCACATAATATCAATAAAATTGACACCGGTCGTTATTTCCAAAAAGTCTATGTGAAAACCGCGAAAATAAAACAGTGAAAACACTAATAGCGAAAAGTAAGAAAACCTATACGTATATACTTACAGATAATCGGAGGAATTTAACGTTTGAACACATTAAGGAACTTCTGATCATCCAATGCAATAAGGTAAAATATGAAATCAATTTTTGTTTCAGTTTTTATTAATGTGAGTTAATACTTTATAGATTGAAGATGCAGAATGTTAAATGGCAACGAAGACGACAAAATACTTTATAAGCTTTTTTTATACTTTTTTAATACCATATTAATTAATAAATATTGTTACATAATTTTACATAATACATATCTTTACATAGGTTTAAACAAAACTTTAAATGCATATTTAAGTACATATTTAAAAATAAATACATATTTCATAACATATTACAGCATTATTAGAAGCATATTTTGAGGATTTTTTGTGCATATAAATCCGGTCCCTAATTATAATGTAGTAAATACACTTAATATTATATTTTTTTGCATAATATGTTTAATATGAACACATATTATGTAATAATATAAAATATTGTATGTATTTCGCAAGTAAATCGACATAATAAAATAATGTCGTCCATACGAGTAATTTTCAAACGGTATATTGCATGTCAAGCCCTCATTATCACAGTTATTGTATCATAGGAGTACATAATGATATTATTATTGTAAATATTATAAGTACTATAAACTTATAGGGAATAATAATAATAAAAATCATAACAAACAGTTGTGTATACAGAGTACATCATTATAAATTACCTATAATATAAAAATAAAATAAATACACAGTGATTCAATATAAGTACACTCACCCCCTCCCATAATCGTATCTTTCACTATGAATTTATTTATATTTTTTATTCCATATCTTTAATTTTTTAAGCCAAAAAATATACTATTCTCATATGACATATGTATAAGACACGATAGAATTTATCCCCCATCAATAGTACATAACTATACTCGTTCGAATTTTTATTTTTATTTGTTAAAGAGTAAAATGATTATACAAAATAAATTATATATTTAATATTTATAATAATTATACTACAGTTAAACATAATTTTTTAAACTTATAAACAATTTTCACAATAACATTATAACAATACAAATACATAATGTAATAAATAGCTTCCAATAAAAAAATAATAATTTTTTTTAAGACAAGAATTTTGATTTAAATGTGTATAATAACAATAAAATAAAAAATAATTTCCTCAACATATATTATTATAAAAATAAAAAAGAGATTGTATTGGAATAGTTTAATACACTTTAAATTATATTAAAAATAAATCTAAATATTTGTCAATATAAGGTTCATAAGTCCACTAGAAAATTTAAAAATCAGAATTTGAATAATTTATAGTATTAAATACTTAAATGGTAATTCATTCTGTAAATTATTAAATATAATTTTATATTAAAATAATTTTTAATTACAAATAATCCGATGAAATGTTTTACTGAATGTTAATTGTTGAGTATTATTTTATTATATTAAAATACAAACATGACCTATGATATAATAAATAATAATTATGTATTATTTAGTTGAACAGATCTTATCAAATCAGGTTAGGTCATAAAAACTTTAATGTTTTATATTTATTCTACAAAAATATATCAAAATTAAATACATCATAATGGTATAACACCATATTTTTACATTTACTAACGAATCATATTCAATCATATTCAAATTCTAATTTTTTATATTTCAAAGTATAATTTTTGGTTTATAGTAAATTCTTAAGATGTTTCTTTTGATAAAAAATTAAGTATGTGTATAAATCGAAACTTTAGTTATGGTTTCTGCGGATTTATTAAAGTAAGGACAATACCGTATAAATTTTATAATACTATTATGTCTATAATAAACAATTATAGTATATACATTTGTTATAATTGTATTAATTTCTTAAAATCGTTTAAATAAAATAAGAAATAGACTAGGTATATAAATATTATAGATACATCTATTTTAAATTTTATATTTTATAAAATTATATATGTACCTACCCTACAATATGTGGTTAATCGTAGTTTTATTTTCTCAACATTTTTAAACGTCACCAAAAACATTTATAGGTAAATTATCTACGTATTCGAATCGACGACATTTTTCGAGTTGTTTACAGGTTTTCTTTTGTGTTTATTTATTCTACATATTATTTGAACGAGAATAATTCTCTATTCGACAACGGTTATCGGGATAATATTACAGTAGTAATTGTATAGTACTAACAATAACAAAGGTTATTACTTACCTACATAGTTATTACATATAGCACGAATAAAAATACTTGTTTATCTATGTACGAACTAGGTACGAATATATGTATAAAGAAATAGGTCACAACGTCACATATACGACACGAATTCCAAATCATGTGTTCAATCTCTAATTTATGGAAATTTGAGTTATAGGTATAAATGTATAATGTAGGTATATAGAAATATGTTCGTATATATTTATATGTGACGTGCGTGTATGTATATATATATAATATTATAATAAAATAAATAATATACTACACAGTAACATATTTATGGTGGGTGAATAGGTGATCCCTACCATAACTTTTTTTTATCTACTCTTTTGATGGGTAAGTAGGTACTCAGAGTATTTATTATACTATAGAAAAAAAAAACAAACTGTATTATCTACTTGGAGTACAAATATTTTGACGATGAATAATGTTTAAATATACCACATATATTTGTAATAGGTATATATGCATACGTACTCTTTTTTTTTTTAGCAAAACATTTTATTTCTCGGGTAATATTTTTTAAATTTTTGTAACTTACATATTTTGCATTTACGATATAAATAAATTACTAAATTTACAAAGTTCACTTCATTGTTATTAAAAATAAACCCCTACATGTTATTTTAACATTTTTACAAAAATTAAGGACATTTGGATGATAAGGAAGAAACAGCCCTCCTAAAGTTAGTGAATAACATATCCTCCCCTAGTCCTCTATCAAGACAAAATCAAAAATATGCCAATAATGCACACTGAAGCCACAGTTTTTTTTCTCTATTTCGGAAGGGACTTTCATTACAATATATTTATACGAAATTTTTTTCAAAAGATACTTCAATATTTAATCACTAAATATAAAGGTTATTAAACAAAAATGTATTTTAAACTATGTACCTTAGTACCAATAATTATCTAAAAAATTAATGGTCATCTACCACTACAGGAAAGGCTTAAACTCGTACTTCCAAACTACTTACGACACTTTCATCTTATCAATTATGATATTTTTACGTAGGTACCTAAGCATAGCGGCTATAGCTAGTATATGGTTTGAAATTTTGTAGTTTTTATTATGACTATAACGGCTTAGAAAGTTATGGTTAGTTAAAAAATACAAGATATGCACAAATAGGTACTAATAATAATTCAAGTTAGTAACTAATAAAAAAATATTATATGTATAACAAATACACAAAAAGTGAATGATATAAAAATAAAGAAGGAAACAGAAATGCATATTTTTAAAAAGTTGACAAAATAAAAATGTAGGTAAATTATGCATTTAAAATTTTTTATTCTTAGACTTGTCATTGTATAGACTATAAAATTAATTTCAAGCATAGTATATCATTAATATTGATAGAAAATAAATATATATATATGTATATACAACTCTTACAACTTATTCGTTCTCTAATTTATTTTAACTTATTTTTTAGATTTTAAACGGAGCGATAAATGCATTTGTATTTTACATTGATGTGTAATTTTTTGTTTACCATCATCTTTTGGGGCAATAAAAATACTTAGGTTTTTAACTTTGAGGATAGTTTTTGGTAGCAGATTATATCTAGCTAGTAGGTTTTTTAAAAAGTACTTATCAATTTTATATTTTATCACAAAATGGTCATACAGCTTTAATCTAGTGAATCCTTTTTGATTTTAACAATTAAAAAAAAAAATGTATAGTTTAATTAAGTATACTGCGATAGCAGATTCAATAATAAATATTCATAATAACGAAACGTCAATGACCTAACAGTTAAGTCCTAACCTTATTTATCTTTAATACAATATGTTATGACGTTGATACGTCGTGAATTGAACAGCAATAACGTCATTCAAAATACGTTTCTATAGAATCATTCGTATTTTGTATCTCGTATTTGATGTTCAACTTCAAATTGTTCAATAATGAATAGTGAATAATTTCCAATGTATACACTTCACTGAATTGGTTAATGATTTAACATAACGTTCCATGTTTTTTGTCGGGTGTTGACCTACTTATGAAATCAAAAAAAGAAACATGCGATAAATATTAAACGTAGATATATTTGTCGATGATTTAATGGCTCAGTAAAATCATTCTAAATACATATTTATTCTATGCACATTACACGATATCATTGAATATGTAATATAACACCAAACTTAGGTACCTATATATAATACTGCTAAAAAGTTTCAATTAAACAATAAATCATAAAACAGTTAAGAGATATTTTATAAATTTCATCATCTGGTCATCTTGATATATTAAAAAATGAGCCAATAATCTGAAATGTCAACATACAAAAAAAATATTTAAATATACAACAAATGTAATGAATTATAATTTATACACCAATCTCTTATGTTTTTGAGAACTTATCATTTGGACCATTTATATCATAATATTTTTTGTTTTACTTCAGTACTTAGGTAATGTTTAACTGACAATATATTAACATGGTATTTATATGATAGTATTTAAAATCAATGATGATATTAGTTATAACTTTAAGTATTCAGAATAAAACTTAAAATATTGTCAATGTTATCATTAAGTAAATAATTAGTTACTTATAACTACACACAAAATGAAATAGGCAATTTGTGTAACCACAAAATATTAAGTATCACAAGATATATTTAATTTCATCATTAATACAAATTTAATTATTTGAACACCATACAAATTATAATAATTTAATACACAATTATTAAAGACAAATACATATAATTTTATTATCACTTCAATATAACACTACACTTTTTTATATGATGTTTATTATGGTTAAAAGTGTTTTAAATATTTAATTTAAAAATATAGATTGACTAGTCAAACCACAAGCTTAGAATGGTTGTGAAATGTATATTTAAAAATTGTCTAATTTTATTAAACGAAACACTAATAAATAGTACAAAAACATTTAAATCTTTAAATTTAGTATGTTTTTATCATTTCCAAATACATGATTAATAATTAAAAATAATTTTATTTAGTAAAATGTTTTAATATTAATAAAATTAAAATTAAATAATAGTAAAATAATAACAAAACATTAGGGCGTAACATACGCATTTAATTTATGTATCACAATAAAAATGGAAGGAACATAATGGGATTTTTAGCGAATATTTGGCAAAATAAATAGACTCAAAGTAAAAGAAAACATGAGAAGTAATATTGAAAAATGGAAAGATAAGTTGAAAGAAGACATTACATAAATTAACACAACAAACAATTCATTCGGCTTTTGAAAGGCCGTTTTCAGTCAACGAGTTGTCACACTTTTTGTAAAGAGATTGGAGTGGTACGTGTAATAATTCAACCAATTCTGGAAAACGTGGCTCTATAACATTAAATATAATTGATACAATAAATAAAATGTTCTTAGATAATTAGATATAATTATAATCAGAGTCAGCTTTATGTAAGTCAGTGGGGCCTCACATTTGTAACTTGTAAGACATTTAAGACCTCACGTAATAAAACTTTTTATTTAGACATTGTCTAAAACAAATTACCCCAGGCCTTGCTTCACCTTAAAGCCGGTACTGACTATATAATAAATTACTTTTCTATATTAAACTTACCATTTTCCGGATTAATAATTCCATGTCTGATTAAAAAATCAATAATTACAGGACAGCTAGTAGTCTTAAAATCTGGAGATAAAATTCTGTTCACAGTTTCCTAAATGATAACTTTTCATAAAAACAAAGTAATAACACAATAAATAATAAAATATATGCAAAATAAATACTAACACTCGCAGTCACCAACTCAAATTTTTCTACTTCATTGTCTTGATTACGAGGTACAAAATCTAAAGGTAATTCTAAGTCAAAAACAAATTCTGTATCAGGAAACAATCCTCGTTCACTCTCGTAGAAGAAACTGAAATGTAAATAAGTATAATATTTACATTTGTTATAAAATTAATATAAGTTAAGAAAAATATCTTACGACACAGTGCCAGCTGATTGCAAATTTTTCATAAGATCTGGAGTTAATGATGCTTCTTCTTCTCCTTCTTTATGAGCAGTATGTATAACACTGTTTCCAACCGATAAACCTCCAGCAACCATATTATCCCATTTTCCAGGCCATGTCTGTTTAGTCAATGATCTTTGTTGAAGCCAAATACATAATCCTTTTTGTGGATGGTTTACATAACCATTTATGTCAACACCGTAATTACAAATCCCAAACAGACCTACAAATAAAATAGCCAATGCAATTATTTGAATAAAAATTGTTTGTTGTCTAGGACATTTACAAGTAGCAGACCGATCCATTTTTAGCAACGGTTGATCAGCAAACATTGTCCGTACTTCATAACACTAAATTAAAACATCTCATTGGTTATTTTCAATAATCTTACAATATATCTATTCATAAGAAATAATGAAAATACTAGGAAATATAATATTTTAAAGGTTGTTAAAATCATGCTAACACTAAATAAAACAGAAACTGTTATGTAGATAAAAGAAGCATGTGTTAATACCTCATCCCTCCACCCTTTGAGCGTTATAAACAATTTTTTTTCTTTCATTTCTCTAAGTACAGACTCTATGTTTGCAGAACGTTCGTCGTAATCCCTGAATGCTGGGTTCAGCGTGACACTATTGGGGTTGACGATAAACACATTTGGATAGCGGCTTAATTCTATTGTGACGGTAGCCCGGACCAAACCGACTTGAATTCCGTCCACGATGAATGCGCGACATTCTTTTTTCTGTAATCCTGTGTGTTAACAGAGGACGATTGTTAATTGGTACGGTAAAAAAAAAAAAAAAAATGGATATGGTTATAGGTAAACGGTGTTCAATAGGACACAAAACAACACTACACATAAACTATTATAATACAACAATCGCAGGCACAGGGTATAAGTTGGCACACGTACCGTTCAAGTAAAAGCTGTTGAACTTGTGCGCTAGTTTTAAAAACTTGGACATTGTACGGCGGTGATGTACATGTGCGGTAGAGTCGTTCATCACCGAATGGTCCGAATGAGAAATACGGTTGTGGTATCACTACCGCCTCCGCCGGTTCAATACGTCATCATATGCAAACGGCAATGACGAAACGGATGACGGATCGACCGTAAACGGCGTAAACCCAGTTGAAGCGATGGCAATTATTATTAATATTATTAGAAATAGCGGCCGACGGGAGCGACACAGGTCATAAACTGGTCGATGTGTGTACTGACGACGATAATAGACAAACGTTGTTATTCTTACAATCAAAATATTATTAATATTCTATATTGGTCGGTGTTCACTGCGGGCGGAAGCCGAGCAAAAAAGAAATAATTTTACGTTTATTTATAAATTATCAACATTGCATATTATTCGTATTTAAAAATCCTATAATGTATTTATTATTATTAGGTGATAAGAAATAATTTCTGCTGGATGACAGATGAACGTTTATCAGGTAATCGATATACCAAGAGGTTCGAAATGGCGCGATACACCGAACTTTGAACTTTTACGCCATTCTTCCACGCGACAAAACTATATGCGCCAATGCGCCATATGGGCGACTGTAAACTCCGCCAAAATACAAGTTAAGATAAAAAGGTCTAATGTAAACTCCGTCAGTTTTTTTTTTGTTTAGTTGCTCAGTGCTCACATTGCCTCGTGCTTTCTCACATTAATTACATTGACATCTTTTGCGATGATATTATATACTAATGGAGTAATACAAGACTTAGAATATTTACAAATTGACAACTGTATCGTCTGTATCACATCATTTTAGTTTACACACATGACATAACTTTATATTTTTCCATTATTAAGTTATTAGGTATAACGATTATTTATTATGATTTTTTACTATGATTTAAATATTTAATGTGAACGAAATTATATGATATTATATTACAATTTTTTTTTAATAATTAATTATATTAATTTTATACTACTACTTGATTTTCTTCACTGACAGACGATGGAGTTAACATGAACTCAATTTTACCTGATTTTTTTTCTGTGGCGGAGTTTATAGTAAAAAAAGGTACTTGTGGCGGAGTTTACATACGCCCAACTATATAATTTGACCGTTTATGGCTCAATTAACTGTTGAGCATTTACGGAATTTTCAAATCATATTTTTCTATAATAATGCAGTTATTCCAAATCTGCGTATTTAAATTTTTATTTTACATATATATATATTAGCGTTAATGTATGAAATTCCGTAATTCTATAAAATAACTAGTTATTCTACATACTAACTAGATATTTTATAAACTAACAATAAGGGTTTAGTTAATGTATTTAAAACTATTATTAAATAAAAGTTTTAATCAAATTTAATTAAATCTTATATAATTTACAAATAACAAAAAAAAAAATCAAATGTTATAGTATTAAGTCAAACGCCTTACATTATTATATAAAATATTAATATTAATTTTTTTTTTACAAATTAAAATAAAAAATCTATTATTATAGTTATAAATTATAATTATTAATTTTTTTTTTTTTACGATTTACAATTTATTTATTAGTACAGGAACTTTTTGGGTGGCATTTAGAATTACAAAGTAAATTATTTTTTAAACATATGCACCGTTTTGTGGTGCATTTTTGTTGGCATGTACATTTAAATAACCCTTGTCTATTACCAATTGATTGGGATTCGGATGCTTTTCGAAGGCAAATATTGAAATATCTACATCTGGAACGTCACTTAGCATAATAAACTTTTTCGTGCATAAATTAAATTGTGACCTTGCGTAGTTGTTTTAGTATGGTGTGGTTCATTACTATCTTATCTTATTATATTTATTATTAAAACGACAACGGTAACAAATCTTGTATGTTATCTAATCCAGTCCCAGTCATCTACCTAATAATATAAATTTCATATATTAACGAAAACCCAATCGGTATTTTAGATATTAACTAGTGAAACTGTGTTATTTATATATTAACGAGCATATTTAGGAATTTTATAGAATAACTAGTTATTTAATAAAATAACGTATTACATACATTACCGCTAACATTTATATTTTTTAACAATTTATATAAGTAGAATGATAGATATTAATATTATAATTACTGTAATTTTAAATTACCAAAATCTTCATATTTTTTAAATTTACTGTCGTGAAACTATTTTTCTAAGTGCATAATTATTTAATATTTCGAAATAACCAATGGGCTACATTTTAGAAGTTTAAAAACATTGTTTTCCTTATTCTTGAAATATAAATTAGCAATTATATCATTCAACTTGAATATAGAACATGATATTATAAAGAATTGTCAAATAATTTAAATTATAACTGTATTTGGAAAATTTAGCATTAATTTATTTTATGTCATCTTAATTCTTAAAATTTTTTAATTAGTTTTAACTTATAACTTATAAGTATGCACTTTCGAGATTTAAATAATTTTACCTTGTATTTACATTTGTAATATTTTAATTTTATTTTATAAGTACAATAAAATAATACATGCACTTTAGTTAATTAAATAGTACTATATATTATAGTAGGCAATAGGTATCTTACTAATTATTACTAAAATGTTAAAACAAAAACTATAGAATCAAGATTTAAATTCGCCATTTTCAATCACAAACTTTGCTTATTGAAGAGGTCACGAAATATTATTTTGTCAATTATATTTTGCTAATTTAAAATGTTATATTACTAAAAAATCGATTAATTATTATTTATTATTAAGCTATACAGGCATTTACAAAGAAAATAATTTTCGGAGGGGAAGATCGAACCCAAAACTTCCCCTTATTTCGTGCTTAAATCTATATTATTTAATTTATAAATATTTATAATTATTTATTGTATAATATAATAATAAATTGTTTTATTGATAATAAATAATAGAATACTTATATATAAATTGCATAAATTTTCGCTATAATATGACTTTAAATTTGAGTAAATATGCGCTAAAAATATGCAGTAAAAATAACAAAATATGCAAAATAAAACAGAAATTTAATTGAATATACAATGTTTTCAACACTTTTTCGATGATAATCGACAGTCGTTGATAGTCGATATTGATGAAAAAACCCCAACAAAATCAACAGATACCATTTAATTGTGTTGCATCAATGCGTTCGCGTATTGGTTCAGTAAACTTAATTTTTAAACTATAATCTATATTCTATATACTTAAATAATCTAAAGAAATGTTTACTAAAATATAATTTCATAGAATATAACTAATTTTGATTTAAAAACAGGTAAAAATGCAAAACATCTGAAGTCCAAAAATAGCACTAAAATCTAAAAAATCGCAGAATAATTTTTTAATTAGAGTTCTCAGTATCATAAAACATATTTTAGCTAACTTTGCTATTTCTTAAGCATCTCATAAGAAATATGCAAATTCTATAAAATATCAAACCTGCTTATAAACATTAACAATAATAAATTAGAGTCAATCATTTAAATTTACTCCATTGAATAAAACAACACCTATACCCACGATGTGTATAATAACTTAATGCACATACTATTTTATTATATTATTATGCTACTATATATAAATATATTTTCACCTACACCTAACAGATTTTACGGTTAATCTTTCAACATTAATTAACACCCAATGGCAAGGCCCGCCGGATATGATTAATCTAAAACAGGTGTTATTCGTCTGTAGATTGTGTTTGAAACAATGATGACTTGTAGAAACGCAATGCTCAATTTAATAATTGTAATTACCTGACCGTAGATACAGCATAACTAAATTTAAATAGACATTTGACCGGGGCTGAAATATCATGACTAGCCGATTAAAAAAGTGGATTTAAACGTAAATCGTATATTTTTACGGGCAATCCTGCCACAAAACGTATTTCCATACATCTAACTATAAAAACACTTGATTGAAAATTTTATTTTGCATTTTTTTTTTTAATTTTAGAGAAACTCTTGGATGTTGAAGATCAAAATATTTTTAAGCTTTAAGTATACTTATCGACTATCGTATTTGTATATAATTTTATATAACAACCATAAATTACAGACCACTAAACATAGGTGTTATTAATTTTCCTTCGTTACATTATATTTATTATCTAAGTCCGCATAGATAAAGTGGAAGCAGACATTGAAATTAAACGGTATAGTTGGAGGATCTTAATAGAAGCTGCAAAAGGCCTTGCGGGCCAGTATAACGAAAATAAATACTTTATGATTTTACCTTTGAACCATGCACGAACAAACAAAATTTTTATCATATGTAGGAAGAAATACAAATCTTTAGTCGAATATTTATTGATAGATCATTTTATTTATGACTCACATGAATCGCGGAAATTCTAAATTAAGTAAATTTAAATAACACCAAAAGACTTTTGTATTATTAATTTTTTTTTGTTTAAATATTTAAAAAGGATTTTTAGAGGCACTTTGTAAAATGTATTATTACTATTGATGCAGCTATTAGTCGTATTTTGTAAGGCCTTTTTAATGCTTCTTAACATGTTAAAATCTATTCTTACCTTGGTCGTTATATTATTAATAAAATCATGAGGGCAAATTCATTAATTTAAAATAAATTTATCGCAACAAAACAGTATATTGTTATTATATCTGTATTTTCTGCAGAACAGATTTTAACTTTAAAGATGTTACAGATTTCATAACTCGATTTTATATTTTACTTATGGAGCAAAAGTCAGACATTTAGTAGAACTGTGTCATTACTGTCATTATTGACATTTGACAGCAAGTCAGCAACAAAATTTTATCATTTAAATCGTAGTCATGCAAAGTCATTATCATGTTCATTGTAATTTGGAAAATCTTTTAACTTTAATATCAGCTAAGTAATTAATCTGATTAGTTCAAATTTGGATAATTGATAACTGTAGAGTATATATAAAACAAATTTTGGGCATTTAGTATTTTTCAATTAACAATATCATGAATTATTAGGAATAAGTAATTTTATATATTATGCATGAATGATGTAACACACTAACACCTAAATATACACTATTTGCCATGTTCACGATGGGTCTATTCTAAGTAAAAATATAATAAATACCTCAAAAAACGAATAATAATTTGTAAAAAGTGAGTAAATTATATTACCATATTAATAGATGTAAATGGAGTGGTCACTGGATTAGGACTCCAGAACAGTTACAAGACACAATATATTTTGAACACACCAGTACTTTTCAAATCATTGAAATCAAAATTATTATCTAACAAGTTTATATTAAGCAGAGAAGTTAAAAAACATTATATAAATCTTTATGAACAAATGACAATAATCTCAACACTGAAATATTTAGACATATTGTTTAAAACAACAAAGCATCAACACTTATTATTACAGTCAATATTTATAAAGTTAAGTAACATTTATTTTAATTGTATTGATTTTAAATGTTTTTTTTCAAGAAATAAATGTGATGTTGAAAAAGAATACTTTTATGAAATATCATTCACGGTATTAGACAAATAAGAATGTTTACAATGCATTCTATTAAAATTTAAATATCAATATTTTAAAAAAAGTGCTCTATTATAATTTAAAATAAATATTGTACTAAAGAACAAAAGATAAAAAAAAACTCTTATATCAGAAAAATAGTAATATGATCATACTGTGAAAATAAATGGTACCATTTACACATCAAAATAATTACTTAAATTGGCATTTAATATTTATTAAATATTAAGAAAATTCCTATTACTGGCATTAATAATTGCCCAGTAAATGATAAGTAACTTTTGTTTGGTTATAATTAGTGAACAATTCTTTTAGGAAAGATAAAATATAATAAATAGTATCTAAATAATATTCAATATACCCTTTTTCTTTAAATTATTATTATTACTATTTTTGTTTAAGTCCTTGTGGCTGAACAATTAGCATAAAATACTTAGCAAGATTTTAAATATTACACTTATTATTATACATTAAAGAAATTATACAATAACATATAAATTAAATATCTACTAGAACAATTTAATGATGAGTACTAAATTTAAATATGTATTAGATTATTTTTGTGTATTAAATATTTGCTTAGTTTTTCAAACTATTTTGTCATGTCTAATCAGTTATCTCTAATCCAATTTAAAATAATAGTATCCTATATATATATATTATTATATATTTCTATAAATGCATATTTTTATTTATATGCTAATATGTATTTATAAAATAAAATAAGTAGAAATTTTAATTTAATTACACATAACTTATATTCATGAGAAAATATACATTAAAACATTGAATGTAAGATAAAATAAAAAGAAAGAATACAATTAATAAAGGTAAAATAAGCATGTTGATATGATAGCATTAATCTTTTTTTTTTTACAACATTTAAAATACAATGCATTGATTGCAGTCTTATTTTTTTCTTTTCTCAGCTGTTGGAAATTCTGTCATACCTTTTCCACCCAAGCCACAGGTGCCAATACCAACTCGTCCATTAACATTATCTGGAGAAGCAAATATACTTTTTTTTGGTATACCTTTTTTCACGCCCTAAATATATGCAAATATAAATTTTTTATTAATTAAAAAGTAAACAAAATAATATTTAATTAAATAAAAATAACACCACATTGGTTTTGAAAATAAGTACATTCTTTTAAATAATATCCATATTATATACTTGCTCATAATACTCTACCAATAGTTAAAACTACCACAATTCTTTGCTCTTTTAATAAAATTTAGTAAAAAATCAACTTTTAAAATAATTACTTATGGTTACAGAGTGCAGTTATAGTTATAGTTAAAAAAAAAAAATACATAGTACTTTCAAAAATTCTGCAGAATCAGTTTATAATAATGATACTAGTTGTAATGACAAACAAGGTTAATGAATTAAAATTAAAAATCTCAGTCAACTTATGTCTTATAAGTTATAAGCTTATTATTACTGGTTCTTGTGACATTCTTATAATAACCACATGGATGTAATGATATTTATTTTTGGTAAATTTAGTCAATTAGATTAAAATTTATATTTTATTTTTAATGAAGATTTAAGGGTTATGTTATTAATGGTTTATGATAAAAAAATTTTTCAAGATAATTTAAAATATTAAATAGTTGTTATCAAACTAGATAACTTAATAATATAAGATAAAAAGCAATTTTTTAATTTTTATAAAAAAAAAAAATGTTACAAATAAAATAAAAGATTTTTTCAAATATTTTATTAATTATAATTCTATTTAATTAAAATACAATTTACTTTTTAATAATATAAATTATTAGAGTGAACATTTTGTAATTTAAATTATATAATGTTTAAAACTGTTTTGTAAAATATATTTTTTTTTAATTTTAATTATAATGAGATATTTTTAATGGCCTTTTGAAATTTTATCATAAGCAATTAAACTTTATATCTTATGATATGAATGTACCAATAATATAAATATATTTAAATTTAAGTAGTTTCACTGGACGCTTTCTTTCTACACGTTGTCACATCCAGTACTAAATTTATCTTTAATGTTTTATAATGTAAACAGATTGTAAATATCTTTTGTAATAAAAAAAAAAAATTAATTTAAATCTATATAAAACACTGCATTTTTTCAAAGATCATTAAATTAATTTAAGTTTTAGTAAATTTACTAAATTAAGCATTATAATTAGAAACTTATGAATTAATGAGATTTATAAATATTTAGTATATCTTACTTTAGTAGCAAATGCTAGCCATTTATTTTTCTCAACTTCACGTTCTTCTTCTAACTGTTTAAACCTTTGCTGTTTAGCAAGTTTTCTTTTCTTTTGATATTCTCTATACTTAGCTACAGGTTGTTTCCTATTAACATGTAACAATAACTTTAAAATTATATAAAAAATAAAACTTTTTAAATTTTTTACTTGTGTTTCATTTCATTGGGATGAGTTCTAGGCAAATCTTTAATAAAATCTAGTGTTGTTACTGCAGCAGCCTTTTGTCCATCTATTAAAACTGCTACTGCTTCTCCGTCAATAGTCTCAATAGTACCTTCATAAAATTTACCATCATCTGCTAGTTGTGCCAAACATCTGTCTCCTGATTTCCATTCACCTTTCGTTTTTGCAACAGATGGTAATATATCAGGTTGATATGACGATTCTTTTTTTACTGGAGCTACAGAAAAAAAAATGTTAACAATTTAATCAATTCATTATTCAATATTAACATTTAGTTATTTTATGTTTTACTATAGGTACATACCAACTTCTTTTTTTGGTTGAGTTTGAGTTCTTACAAGTTCAGTTGTTAGTTCAATAACTTCTTCTAAATCAGTTTTTAGTTTCATAAGTTCTGGATCATCAGGACTATTTGTCAATGCAGCTTCTACCTATAAGTAAAATAAAATAAAAGCACACAAATATTATCATCATGTAAAAATTTTCCCGATATAAATTAATTAGGGCCTAAAACAAAAGTGAATAGAATTGATACAATATATTATATACTATGGTCAATAGACCATAGCTTTGTCAGACAAACCTTACCGGTGCGTATTAACGATTACATCCGGATGTAGAATGTTCAACATGGCTGAATCCTAAAAATTCCGAAAATCTTTTAAAAATCTATACTAAAATCTCAACCAGGAGTACTTTTATTTAAATACAGACCATGGTTATTTGTTTTTATAGTAACCAATCAGTTGCTGAATTAATATCAGCTATAACTGTTCCAACTGCAGTTGCCAGGTGAATTGGGTATAATGCAGGTAAAGCAAATCTGAAGACTTTTATGACAGCAAATTTTCTCTACAATTTTATAAACCGGGAGAAATTATAAAATATTTTAATTAGTTGTTTGCCTAATTGTAATACCTTGATACTTTGGATGATGCCGATGTAAGATACAGATGATGCTAATAACTTTTCCCATTGCTGCATCTATTTATTATTAAAAAAAAATATTTACGGTGAAGGATTTTCACCATGAGCTCTTACCTAACTTTTAATACTGTAGTAATTGTTTTTTTTTTTAATTAAACTCTAATGATTGTGGCTATTATTTTGTTTCAAAAGTAAGTAAATAATTACTTACATTTTTTATTAGAATCTGATATGGCATGAACAAATATAGAAATTAAACAATAGAATTTTACATGTAAATTTTGAAAATTAAAACAATACATTTGAAGTACCTACTTTTATGATAGATATTTCAATAATGATCTATATATGTTATAACTTATAATAAAAGCAATACTAAAATTTATAAGTCAGTCAAAAAATATATAATATAGATGATATAAATGAAACTAATTTGTTGTATTTAAAAAATGTTGTTTCTCAATTTCAAATGAGCAATATTATATAAATGGAATTTTACATTATATCAGTTTTGTGCAATTAAGTTAATTGAGTATTAATAAAAACATTTAATTTTTTAAATAAATTAAAATTTTAAATCTTAAAATTATTTTTTCTTACTTCTATTAATATAAATTGCTATATTAGCTCAAAATATATTTTATTATATTCAATAATTAAAAAAAATGTCAAGGTTTATTTACCTATATTTATGTTCAATAAAATATTTATTTTCAAAACTATAATTAATATAATAAACCATTTGCTAAAAATAATCCTAGGTCAAAAATAAATTGTAAATTTAAGCAATATTAAATATCAACTACCATCTTAAATACTAGAACAAATTTCTAAGAAGTCTTTTGAACACATCAACAATCATTAGCTCAAAATTTACCGATTCAGAGATATTTAAAATTTGACTATATTTGTAGAATAAATTAGTTAAATTTGATATATAAAAACACTCATACTTTAAATTTTATTTAATACCTATATTATTGTTAATTTTTTTTTTAATTAAAAATTAAGCTGACACACAAATTTTGAAAATCAAAAATGGGTAACTTTGTCAGGTGACTTGATCATAACATACTGTTTATGATGTTAAGTATAATGTACATATTTTCTGTTGTTTTAATAGGCTTAAATTATATTTTTTTTAAAGATTAGTTTTAATTGTATTAGCTACCTAACAAGAAATATATTATGTTATACACTAAAATATAATAAATTGATTGTAATGGGAACCATTTACAAATAGCATTTTAAATTCTAAAAGATATGTTAAGCTGCTGGTTGATATTCTTATAATATCTATGTAAATACTATGCAACATTTAAGCTGGGTCCATAGCTACATTGTTTATTATACCATGTCTAAAAGTTGAGTTTGGGCCAACTCTGGAAATTTCTTAGTAGATCAAGATTTGTGAATAATACTATGATCACAATGATCAATCAGAATATAATAAAAATTACTTGACACAGTAGACAACATAGATATGAACTCAATTCAAAATTAAATGGATTTTTATACTAACATATGGATAATACCAATGTGAAACAAGTGCATAACATCCAAATGAATGTCTGACATAACATAATATATGCTTTGTATATTGAATAAAAACATATTTATTTCAAACTTTATTTATTATTTTAAATAATAAATCGTATAATCTGTATATGACAGCATTATGCAAATAATGAAAAATAGTTACCTGCTGCAGTTGCAGTTTGTAATTGATTAGCTCGTCCGCCATTGATAGCAATTGTGTAGTCTTAAATGACGTGCAAATTGGTTTGCGAACAATTTATTGCACAAACAAGTCGTCGCTGACAAATCCGTACGATTTGGTAAATATCTTTCAGGATATATTAATAAATTATGTATAAATCTGAGCGTATGTTTAGCAATACAAACCGTGACCTAAGAGTCCGATCTATCGTCGTCACTGGCAAACTTTAAAATACAACTATTATTATTGCCGTAAGATGTTAGTCGTGATTAAACGTTTTCTGATTAACATTTACGAGTTAAAAGTACTGAGGAGCACCGAGCAAGTAATCACTGATAACCGGTCACTGCTGCTGATGCTGTGACGCGGTTTAGAAGCACTTCAATTAATTGTAAATATTTAATAATAATAATAGTAATTGTAGGGAGCAGAACAGAACGTCAGTACGTCACTATATAAAAAAAAAAAAAAAAAAATACAAGTTACTAACTCACAACCAGACGGCAGGTCGTGTTAACAATTCATACCTTCCTTATCGACCATGATCAAAAATGAACAGGAATGCTATCTAGAAAACCAATATATTAACTATTATTACGGATTCGTCTGACATGACGTTATGTTACCGCCGAACATCTTATCAATATAAAAATTATAAAATTCAAATAAATTTAAAATGCATACCTACTAAGTATGTCCATACAATATAATATATCGAAATGTATAAGTATGACCGCTATGACATATCACATAGACTAGATTTTATAATATTTTTAGAATTATATTACATAGAGTTATATTATGTGATTGAATGTTTTACCAATTGTATTAGCAAGGGAACCTAATGGATAGACGGGGAACAAGATAAAGCAATGAGCACATAAAGTAGTTTTTTTTAATTAACTAATTACCTTTCTATTTTAATATGAAATGAGTGAAACAAAGAAATAAGCAATTCTAATTTACTGACACATAATAATACATTTGATTACATTTTATTTTTGTTTAGCAATACTTATTAAAATTTATTTTAATTTACTACAGTATACCAAAACAAATATTAATCATATAAAACAGCATATTATTAAATTGTTGAAATAACATTAATCCTTTATATTTTCTGAGTTTATTTTTTATTTTGCTGTTTTAAAATATTGCATATGGGTACCCAACTATATTAGTATAACAATTTTATCTAAATATCAAGTCATGATCTTACTACTTACTATTTAATGGACACCAGTCACTGGTCAGCATACATTGGTTGCAGTATGCACGTGAATGGTAAATTAATTGTATCAACGTTGCTAATTGTTTTCCTCTTCTCAAAGTTGATGAAGTTGTTAAATTTCAATATAGATTATATTAAATTTTTAATTAATTGTTATTCATTATTCATTATGATTATGATTGGAGATTACAAACTGACTTACTATGATATATTATTTAAAAAAAATGTATGTTAAGATTTTAATAGTAATAGAGTACCTATTAAAGATTTTATATTATTTATTAGTCTGTTCCCATATTGAATATGCATTTTTAATTTGAAACTAAAATAGTATTAGTCAAAATTAGAACCTAAATACTGTTTAAGATAATTATCTAAAGTAGAAATCCATCATTATAAAATATTTCATTCTAAACTACTCAAACCAAATGTCATAAATTACCATTCCTAACAATCCACCAAGAAGACTTAATAGAAAGTGGCCAAGAGATGCCTTGTATATAAATATTTATAAAAAAAAAAACGGTTCCCTTAAACCAATCTTAATTAAGAAGTACTATTATTCAAGCCAACAAGTCAACTTTATATTATATTAAAATTATTTACTTATTATGTCATATTTTATACAAATAGTAAATACTGTTTATCCAATAAAAAAAAGAAAAGAAAAGAAAAAAAAGGTAATACATGATAAATAAAATATGAAAAGAATTTCTCACTAACGGTATACTAATATAACATTATGTAGCCATTTTAAAATTATTTCATTAAATAAATGATTAGAAATGCAAATTTAAAATTATTAATTCAATGCATAATTTTATTGATTGTTCAAAATTTCTAGAATTAATAAACCTCAAGATAATTTTAATTAATTCTAGAAACACATGTGAATTTTATTTAATTAATATAAACACACATATATTATGTTTAGTGACATAAATTTATGACACCAAGATAGGCATTATTATTCAATTATTATGTTTTTAAATAAAATTAATTATAAATATTTTAATCATTGTTATAATTTTATATTTAATATTACAATAAATAATTGAGAAGACTAATGGATTACTAAAATTGTATTGTAATAATGTACATTAAGTAACAGGTAATGAAATAGAATAAACAACCTATTGCTATTGCATATAATTATTTTCTTGTCTTCTATTTTAAATGTTGTTACAACACATTTTTATTATATGTTATGTATGAATAAAATATATATTTATTCACTGAAAATGGTTCATTGTATTAAGATTTAAGGCCTTTTCTATTTTTAATAACAAAAAATATACCTTAAAACATTATTGTATATGAAAACCAAAAATTCTTTATAGTTTTTTTAAATTATATTATACAAAAATAATAGAAGATTCAGCTTTAAATAAACAATTAAATGGTTTTTATGGTAATTCTTGAATGATAATTACATACTTTCTTTGAACTTACCAGATTAACAATAATTAATTAGTATTTAAAAATATGTAACATAAATTTTTTAATTTTTAACAAATAAGTGGTTATTTTACACCTACTTTTTCAAATTAAAAATAAATGGTTTTTCTTTATAAATTTCAAAAATAAAAACGAAATAACTTACATTACTCCAAGGGTATTAGTGTTATCACATTTTGTAAATTGTGTAATGTGCTATGTACTTAATAAAAATGCACATTTACTATGACAGGTAACACTTCTAGTTACATCTCTATCTTTTATTACGCTATCATAAATTATTTGTCACCAAAATTATTTATTTAACACAAACTTGTATAAATTGTAATTATTTATTATTAGAAAGTAACATTTTTAATTTAATATTAAAATATACAAATTTATAAAACTTTACTCTTGGAAAGTTGTTGTAATTGTCCATAAACTTTAGAAGGTGGAGATCCAAGAATTAGATTACAAATAGCTCTCATAGCTACTTGTATATTTTGAAATGATCCCAATATATGAATTTTTGAGTCTGCCAACACTATTCTGGTTTTTGTAACATTTTCAATGGTAAACTTAGTTCGTCCTCCTTTTCCAGCCAATCTTCCAATAGCACGTGATAAATGGTCTCCTTTTAATGTTTTTACATCTTTAACCTAAATAAAAAAATAACTAATATTAAAATTGTCTATAATTAGATACATAAGTACATTTATATTATTTTCAAATTATGTTTTGGAGAGGGAGAATATATTACAAAATATAGAGATACTTATATAATATATATAAAGAATTAATATCCCGTGGTTAGTATGCTACTTTTATTTTAATATGCTAACACCACTACAGTTAATTCCTCTAAAAAAATCTAATTTATTATTAGTACAATTGTTAAAATATAGAGCACTACTAAGTTGCTCCATTTTTTTATTTTCTTTAATAATCCACTTAATTAGTGTTTATTTATTATTTGTTTATGCTCATCACTATTTTAAAGTTTTTTTTTTAAAGTATTTTTAACACTTGTATAATATGTATATTTTATAAAAACTAATAGATGTACCTAGTATTAAAAATTGGCAGTTGTTACAGATTTTTAGATGATCGGTAGGATGTGACTATTGAGGGGATTAAAATAAAGATGTGTTAATAATATTAATATATTATATATATATTTTTTTTTTGGAATATTGAAAGCTGTTGTACCTATAATTAATAAATAAAAAAAAAATCTATTTTTAATATAACAGCTGTTATTTGTTATATAACATAAAGGTTGTAAGTAGGAAAAAATGATAATTTTAGGTACTCTAACTAAAAATTAGAAAAGAAATTAGTTAGAAAATTATGAAAACCAATTTAAATATTGTGAACTTTAATCTGGCCTCCTAAATTAATAATAATCTATATTGAGGATAACAAAAATTAAGTATGAAAATTATACATTACTGCTGTATATTCTTATTTTAAATCAATCATGATACAAAGTGACAAAAAAATCATAATAGCGTCATAAATACAATAAATGATGCCATATTAGTATACACTGTATATGTATTATAGGTACATACTTCAAAAGATTCGACAAAAAGATTGTCCAGTCTTATTAGTGCCAGCGCATCTTCCACTTCAAACCCATAGATAAACGCCTTGACAAAATCTGCAGCTTTCTGCAAGTGTTGCGAGCCGATTTCGTCATCAGGGACGGGATTTCTAATTTCAACGTTTCTGGATTTGACATTGAACCTGATATCCAGCCGGAGGTGTTCAACAACAGGCGTGTAAATCTTTAACCAGTGTTCTTTGAGAGGTGTGAGCCTATGCGACGGCACAGGAACTTTGCGCATCTCCCGGTTGTCTGAGGAAGACTTGGTGGACTGAATTTTTCTCAAAGGTCTGTTGTGAGTTGACATGACGTACTGATATTCAAGAGTCCTTGCACAATAAAGTAATAAAAAAGTATAGTTAATATTCACCTAACAAAGAGGAGAGGCATAGGTATACAAAATAAAACTTTTTAGGTAGACGACACACACGTGCCTAGTGTGCAGATAAGATAAATGATAAATGTTATTTATTATTTGAGAAATAATAATATTATTGAGTTATGAGTGATAACACTGATAATGATTCAAAATAAATGTGGGGGGAGATACTTTTGTTTGAAGAAAAAAAAATCATGTGTTTGGGTATCAAGAACAGCTGATGTTCCAAGTGTTGCCATCGTACATTCATATCGTCGTCTCAAGTCTTTTTTCCGACGAACTACTCAGTACTCGCGTAGGTAAAACCACAGATCACATTTATCCAATTATCTCAGTAAAAGCCAAAAAGGCGAACAATCTAACGAAGAGAGTTGATGGTGGCATTGGCATGATCTGTCGTCCAACACGCATACACAGTCGTCAGATCGAAGAATCGAATCGCACTCATCCTCGCGCGACGACCTCGTTCAGCAGCTGGCCGTACTCCGTAACGTTGGCCAACCTTTGTCGCCCCATACCTTTGTTATCTGGTTCTGGGATATTGATAATCGAATTGTCGTAATTCATATAATAATAATATTATATGATTATGCTCGTTGTGATGCTATTATATACACACATCATATTGCATTATACATTATTATTATTATACACGCATTACACACACGAAGCGTATAAAGGAGGAATCTAAAATTAATTTTTCTGGCTTGTTTTAATATTTAATATATCATTTTTCTCCATTTGTATTTCGTTGTTTGTTTTACTCATTGACGACGGTGACAACGACGACGACGACGATTAACGACAACGACTTCAGCGAAGAATAGTGGATACTCCTTTTTGGTTCAGACCTTTTGCCGCCCCGTCTTTTTTTTTTTTTGTCACTTTTTTGTTTTTCAAACGTATTGCGTTCGTAGAACTATGTCGCTGAGATCGAAGACGGTGTGCGAAATATGCGGTGAATCGTTTTTGACCGAAAACAAACTGTCCAACCATATAACTGAACGACATGTCCACTCGTCTACGAGCCCATCGCCGAGTGTTGGTTCATCGTCTAAACGTCGAAAACTAGACGCCGATTCTGACGTCAGGTGTCCGCTCTGCGACTATGTAGACCTAGACACCGACCGTTTACAGCAACACGTTAATCGAATGCACTTTGATCCCGGCAGTCCCCAGCGTCTGGGTACTGTAGACTTCCCTTGTCCGATATGCCCACTGGCTTTTGATCACTGTGATAATCTTGAAACTCACATAAACGAAGAACACCATGATATCGTTAGCCCTCAAACGGTAATAAAAATATATTACAGTATCTTGATGATATTGTAACCCAATAATATTTTAATTATCATTATAATTAATTATACCATTTTTTTTCTGTGTTTGCAGGATTGTGATAGTCAAAGGATACCGTTGTTAGAAAATATCAATGAAGGTTGTGTGATTTGTGGAATGAAAAATTTTGATAGTTTAAGAGATTTGGACGCACACATTGAGCAACATTACCGAGGTATTGTCTGTTATATATTATATACTTTATTCTTTTACCGGCATAATATGTGCTGTGTTAATTTATACAATATATTGTGAATTTTTTTTTTTAAATACTTAACTCCAAAACATTTGAAGATGATATGTTTATTATAATTTATTTTCTACAATTTAAATAATTACATACTATAATTTGCTTACATTTCATTTTCGTTTGTTTCTATCGCAAACAGATTATTTGCAAGATTTATGTCTAAACAAAATGAGCAATCCACACAATTTAAACTATAATTGTTTTTGATTGGCTCAATTTTTAAGAATATTGTATTATTACTTAGTATATTAAAATAATTTAAATTTGTGTTTTTTGATCAAATCTTTTATTTTATCAAAATTTTCTAAACTTAATTTAACTTTTTCATGCAATCACTACGACATTCATTCTCTATTACAATTTATGACATATTGAATATATTTCTCAGAGAATAATGATTATTGTAAATATATCAATAAAAAAGTATATTTAAAAATACTAGATTTTTAATGTTCTCATTGATAACATTTAAAAAAAAATGCATTTATTTTAAAATAAATAATTATAATTCAGTTTTAATTTGCTTTTTATGAAATATATTCATTTTTAATCAAAAAAAAAATAAAATATATATATATATATGAATTCCAAAAATGATGTATTAATAATAATAATGGCTGTATTAATTACTTACAATTAAAATAGTTAGGCTTTCTATAAATGAAACACAATTTTTATAATTTAATATGTACTGAATATCTGTATTATTTATTAAATTTACTTGAAAGACATGTTTTTTTATATAATTGTTCTAATTTGACCATCTAATTTACAGTAAAATTCAAGATCTATTGATGAACATTATTTTAATTCTACTTTTAAAAATTAGAAATACAGGACTCTGTAATACCTTGATTTTTGTATAATATATTGACAATTTTTTGTATGTATAGGTTCAACACCACCTACCCAAGACCATTTACCCAATCATGATCAGCTTTTGGCAAAACAATTGGAAAAACAAGAACGTGAACGTATGAAACAGAAAGAACAAGAAGATTTTCAAAAATTGCAATCTGCTTATGGCATGGACAACAAAGGGAATTATAATCAACAAACTATGACTAACTTACAAGAAGCTGTATCCAGTGGCCAATTAACTGTTTATGATTATTATGAAAAAATATATGAAATTAAAATGGCTGAAAGTAAAGGACTTGATACTGGCGAATCGGCTACTAGAGGTTAGTTTAACTATTAATGTTATTATTTCTTTAAATCTGTCCATTTTTTAAATTATTGCTCACTTAATACAATTTTAGCAACATTTCAGTAGTATCTAAGGGATTTGGTGTATTGCTTTTAAAACTATAGTATATTGACTTTTCTAGTAGTTTTTTTTTTTTTTTTTTATGTTCACTAAATTTTATTTCATGAGTTTGTGGGTATGAATATATGTTATATTATTCTCATAGATTTATAATAAAATTTTAATTTGTGTTCTAGTGTGGCGGTTGTTGGCCTTAGTTATTAACATGTTCTGACATAAAACATTAGCCAGAATTGCTAGCCAAGTTTTTAGTAACAAATCTTCGCCACATTTACACATACCAATGGTTTTAAATAATAATTTAAAAAAATAAATATTATTAAAAAATAATTATAATAATTATAATTATAATTATTTATTATTATAATATTATTATTATTATTAAATAATAATAATAATTTTTTATAATTGGGTATGGTTTTTAGTTCCAAAACCATACCCTCCTCTTAGTAAAAATTAACTATAGGCTAATAACCATTGCTGTTGAACCCTAAAAACTATAAATAAAAATTAATTTAAATTTGTTTTTTTATAAGAATCATGTTTAGCTTAAACAATTTTTGGCTTTTTGGTCAAAATCTTGAAGTACAAACTACTTGTACCTAATTTGCATAATATAGCCCTATGTAAGAAGGCATACAATCAATATATTTGTTAGCAACTCAATAGGCTAACTGAATTTGTAATGATCTAAATCTAAAGACCCAATCTTATAGGTATATAATTTAATTTCAAGTTAGCAATCAATATACATATATTTTATAATAAAGTAAGTTGTTTTAAATTAAATGCAACTATTTTAAGATAATACATGGGTGGTATTTATCTCTTTAAAAATACATTGATTAGCATTGTCTCCTCAATACAAATTACTAGAGCTCAATTGTTTATAGTTAAGCTTATATTTTAAAGCTATCAGAATTATGCCAAATTATGACTTAAATTTGATTCATGAAATTTAGTTTTTAAATTTATTTGCATATTTGACATATTTAAACAAATATTTACATATAGTGATTATTTCTTAATTAAAAATGTTCCATTTTATTATTATTAATTTTAACATTTATAAAAACAGTAATCAGATAATATTATCACTAAAAATTTACAAATATGACTATATGAATAATTATACAATGTGTGAAATCAGTTTTGTGAATTTATATTTGAGACATGATCGGAACCCAATAGGTTTTAGCTAATAGTATGTAGATATGATGAGTAAACCACTTATTAGATATACAAAATATTTTTCATATTGCTATTTATTATGTGTTTTGTTAAATAGTAAATAATCCCAAATTTATAATTAATTCAGATAAATAAAATTAAAATTCTTTTAATCAATGGCTCAAGTCATCAAAGCAGTTTATCATAAAAAAATTAATTAACAATCATTATTCATTTTAGCACGATATTGTATATTTTGACATTTAAAGAACATATTTCAATGAATTTATAGTCATTAAAATCCCAACTCTCCTAATAACATATTTTAGATGCTAAAATAATTTTAAAAATATTCTTAGTTATTTTTAGCATTTACAATATAATATGTATGTTTGACATTTTTATTTATTTTTAAATACAATACAATTTTACATTTAATCTATATTTTCTATATCATATATCTACTACAGTATGGTAAAATGTTTTGTTTTTTAATAAAAGACTAATGTATTATAAGGTATTTCATAAGTTTTAACAATCATAACATTAAAATTGCTTAAATTATTTTAAAATGTATTATTATATTCTATTTTTATTAAGTGCAATATATGTTATTTTGTTAATAAATTACTTATTTTATGGCAATATGTTTTATAAAACTTCAAAATTAACATACAAATATCTAGGGTGAAACAAATTTGAGGGTCAATAAACTAATTTTTTAAGCTAAATGATTTTAATAGTCTGCTACTGCAAATGATTACTGAAAGCAAATTGATTGATAAATATTAAATACATTTTTAAAGAAAAACATTAATATTCAATATTTATTATTCAAGTACTTAATGTTGATGATTGCAATTTATGTTCTATTTCTTTCTTTTCTGTAAAAGAAAAAATAATTATGATTAATTAAATATTATAGGTTATGTTGCATTATAATTTCAACTACAACTAAATATATTTTATCTTATCAGTTGTCAACCATTTTTTTTTTTTTATTGTGCATTTAAAACAAATAACATCAATACAATGAATAAGCATTATTCTATATTTTTTTTGTAGTAACAAAATATGATTTATAAAACATTTTGTTTATGACTTTGAAGCATAATATTCAAATTTTAATTTTATAGTTTTTTTGTGTGTTTTTTTAAATGTGAAAATTAAAGTGAAAGAAATAGCTTTAGTAAAAGTATTTTTGTCTTAGAGATTTTGCAATAAATAGATTATTATGAAGAATGTATATATTTATCAAACAAAACCTTATTTTTTTTTAATATGATAATGAAAACAATATTTTGCTTTTGTACTAATTTTTTAAGTTTCTTATAGATTTTAATGATTTAAATGATTTAATGACATATTAAATTATATGTAGAAAAAATTTAAAGAAAATTGCTAAAAAAAACTGAATCCTGCTTAAATTCCAAAAATACGCTGCAATCAAATGTTAATGAAACGTCTTTTCAAGATAAATTTAACCAAAACCTTTTAAGTAAACCAAAAACAATACATTTTGTCCAAAAGAGTAGTTGTAATTTAGATTTTAACTTACTCAGTATTAATAAAAACTATGCAGCTCCTTCTTTGGTATTAAGAAAACCAAAAGTAACCGATGATCACTCATGTAATAGTTCATTATCTTTAAACCAAAGAACAACTTTACCAGTGAAATACAATTCTAATACAAATCCAATGCATGTTACCCATGTAAAAAATAAGATGGACAATAATAAGTCTCCATTTATTAGTTTACATGGAAGAAATTTTCAAAATGATTCTACTAGTATAAATATATCTTACAGTGAGCACAACTTACCATATAAAATATGTAGATTATATTGCATTGAAAAATTTTAAAAACTAATTTTATACTTTTACTTGATATTTATGTTTTTGTACATTTTATTTAAATATTTTTAGACTTGATTGAGTACATACGTCACTTCAGTGCATCATCACCAAATGTAATAGAATTACATTTGGCTTCTCCAACTGATCACTATAGATCAACTTATGGTGACAGAGGTTGGGGATGTGGATATAGGAATATGCAAATGTTGATGTCCAGTATGCTTTTACAAATGGATTATAATGAACATATCTCAAGAGTATGGGAAGTTGAGAAAGGACCTCTACCACGGGCATGGATGCCATCTATATCAAGATTACAGCAACATTTAGAGAAATCATGGAGCATGGGTATTGATGAACCTGGTAGAGAACAATTAGGTGGTACTGTGTACAACACGAAAAAATGGATCGGAGCCACTGAAGTTGTTACTATGCTAACAGCTTTGAAAATTAAGTAAGTTTAATTTTAAACTATGAAGAAAAATGTCATTGTATAAATTTTAACCCATCAACAAAATGTATGTAGATTTAATTTTGTACTTGATTGTAAACAGCATATTAAGTGATTGAAATTATTGGAAATTTGATTATTTTAAAATCCCTGATATTTTTATAATACATATCTGATCAGTTTTTACCTAAATTAAATGAGAAAAATATCAAATTAACATATTTTATTATACAATGTTAACATATTACTTGAATAATAATTCAATATATTTCATTGTATAGAACATTATTAATAGACTTTCGAAAACCAACTGGTTCGAAAAATACTCATCCAGAAATGTTTCATTGGTTGTATGAACATTTTAGCAATAGAAAAAAACAATTTATTCCTCCGGTTTATATACAGCATGAAGGTAATTATAATAGTTTTTTTTCTGTATGTTAAGTAAAAGTTAATAAATAAATAATATCATTGTTTGTTTTTGTTTAGGTCATAGTCGAACTGTAGTTGGTGTTGAAAAACTATCTGATGGTACAATTTTATTATTAGTATTAGATCCAAGTGGTCATTACGATAAATTAAGAACAGAAGCTGGGATGACAACTATGTCACACATAAGAAAATCTATGTATACATTCAAAGCAAAGGAGTATCAACTAGTCACAGTCAGTGGCATAATCACAAGTGATTCAGAATTTGAAGTAAGTAAAATTTACTTAACCATTTAATTCTAGTTTTAAAAGTCTGCGGACTATTTGATCAGAACATATTACAGATTTGTATATTATAGCTAGGTGGGTGATGGAAATAATATTATTTTATTTTTAGCAATAATATTAATATTTATTTAACTAAATTATTAAATAGCTTAATTCTTTTTAATCAAAACACGGGTAATCAAATATTTTACATTCACAACACAATTATTCTTGAATTATCTGATACTATTTGTAAATGATTCATAATTAAATAAGTCAGTGATTCTTATTCCCAGAGCATGACCCTTGATAGTTCTGAATCTTTCTGATTATTTTAGGTCACCATAAAATCATTAAATAAATAAAAAAAAAAATTGTTGTAACATATGTATATATATAAAAAATTATTTTTATGTGTCTGTATTTTCAATTTTGTTTTTACTTTAAAAATATTTAGAATTACTGAAGTAACTTCTTACTAATTATTGGATATCTAAATTGATTTCTTATAATAAATAATTAACAATAACATTATAATTCATATTTGAAAAAAAAAATGTTTTTGTAATTAATAGGTTGAGGGCAGTACTGTGAAAAAATAAACTTTGAAATTTTGTCCACCCCCCTAAAAAAAAAACTTATGAAATTTTGCAAAACAAAAAAAAGTGGGCAGTTGGTGACAATAATTAATATTTAATTATTATATCAGTGTATATTTCTATCATAATATATAATTAAATATTAAGTTTGTATGTCTTATTTAGAGTAAAAATGTTTATGTCCTCACAAATCACGATAAAATTGAATTCAATAATAAATTATTGTATGTGATCAAAATTATTTAGAACGGTGACAGTTTATCTGTCATATCGATAAGATGTATAACATATATTATAACGGATAAGAAAAGTACTTATAACTTAATTTTAAATGTTATAGAAGTGATAATTTCTAAAATGTGTTAGTCACATTCTATGGTATTTGATTTAAACAATTTCTGTTTGAACAGTATGGATATTTTAGTGTTAGAAGAGCGAAAAAAAGCTAGCATTTGAATATGTATGTTATACATAAAACGTGTTCAAAATTTATGAGATGAAAATATTTCAAAACTATTGAAATTGTACTTGATACAAATTTTAAATTTAAATTATAAATAGACTGTCATTGAAGTCGTGTAAATATGTGTGTTAGGTAGGTTACTTATCATTTTTATTAAATGGTTATTTTTTCAGGGACTAAATTTCTGAGGTTATTTATTAGAGGAATCGATGATGGCATACAGTTTTATTGAATTTTATAAAGAAGTTATAATTACCATTGTCAATATGTTTCTTACATAATATTTATTTTTTCCTCTTAAACATTCCACTTCAGTAGTTTAGATACACTTAAAAAGTTGTTATACCAGTTTCATTACAATGGTTGATAATGTTTTTATTGTTCCAGAGCGGCAAAACAATTAAATCTACTCGTGGTTCATAACAACTACCAAGAAGCTGAAATTGGTTTTGCAGAGCTTAAAAATTTTGTTTATATTTTCATTTTCCTTTTTATACATTCTAAATTCTGTAAAATAAAATTATAGCCCAAATGTTAACTATAATGTTTAACACTTAGAATGTCTTAATATCTCCATTACAAGTTACTTTATTTAATGTTTATAATATAATCACTCTCAAACTCCATCATTACAGGTAGTGGTATTAATAAAATATTATACTTTATAGAATATATATATATATCTTTTTTTAAATTTATTTATTGTCTAAACAAAAACTCAAATAGTTTGTTTTTAAATTAATACATTTAATAGACTAGACAAATTAATGTATGTATATCTACAATGTAAATTTGTACAAAAAAAAAAACATTTACAACAGATTTTAGGAATGCTTACTATTTAAATATTAAAACCCATTTTTCTCATGCATTCCTTATGTGCTTCAATTAGGTGTTGACAGTTTTCTTCTCCGTTTTCCATAATACTGTAAAAATCAAATAAGTAAATAACAAATAATGATTATGAATCTAGATTTTTTTTTTTATAGTTAATTATTAGAGATATATCAATAATTTGAATTTCCATAAAGTATAAATATATATATATATGCATATATTTGTGTGTGTGTGTGTGTGTGTGTAAGTTTAGATTTAGAAATAACAGATTTAAGATATATTTTTTACTTGTATAATAATGATACTTGAATGCTGTCAAAATTAAAATATTACTAGATTTTTGTTGATTTAGTTGTCTTTTTTTTTTTTATTTATACATTATATATTATATTATAAATAGTGCGAGCTATAATAAATGTTATTATATTGATAAAATCATGAAGTATATAAGATATTATATTAGAGTAGAACTTCGACACGAAATTGTATGAATTGTACAAAATATTAAACTTTCAAATAACTAATATACATTAATACAACATGATATACTGTATTTATAATACCCAATCAAATTTTAAAAATACAGTTAAATTATAACATTTTGAAAACTTATCTATGTATATTTTAATAAACATATAAGATGAATTTTTCATGTTGTCATTAAAGCAGAAAATGTTTTTAATTTATATAATTAATATACATGCATAATGCACAAAAGTATTTGCAACTAATTTTTTTTTTAAATAAGGACATTTTTATCCTCTGTGTAATCTATTATAAGGTTTTATTATAAACAAAATGTTATTAATTGAAAGTAATTTCTAGTAAGCAACTTAAATAAATATTAAATCAAATGTGGCTTTTTCCAACAAATTCTCGGAGATATGTAGATATTAGATAAATTTTTAAAATTAATAAATTGTTATTGGTTTTAAAAATTTACCATATTATCCATTATTGTTGATGAAAAGTGAGATATATTTTTTTAAACTACTTATTAGAAATGCAACCCTCAAGTTAAATGAAAATAATAATTATTGGTTTGCTACCTAAATAAATTAATATTCTATATTTAAATTATGTTAAAATAGTTTTAAATTCACAGATAACAGAAAAATTTATTTTTACTAGTAAATAAAATTACCATAAGTATGAAAACAAGTATCTATGAATTTAATAGCTCAAACACCATCATAAAAACGTTTTATAAAATAGTAAAACTACAACTTGATCAAGATTTTCTCAAGATGATAAAATTAAAAGTTAAGTAGAATTGTTATTTACTATTATTATAAATAACATATTAAAATTATTTTAAATTAATTCATAATATTTTTGTATCATGATACAAATACTGATATTTTTTTGAGCTTATGCACAAATTAAGAGGAATTTCTTTGGTTTTTGTTACACATTTTTAAAATATAAAATATAGGGTTTTTTTTTGCAGGGATAAAGAATATATTTGTGGAGAAAACAATATTTATAAGTCTGAGAATATATTAATAGTGCATGAATTTTTTTTTCACTATCATATTTTGGTAAGCGACCTAAAAAAGGTTTACAGTCTCTGATTTATAATATAAAATGTCGAAAATATAGGACATCTGATTAATATTTAATTACAGTTAATTCATATCATAGAAAATAAATTAACTGAACAAATTAGTAGTAATATAAGATCTGCTTACAATATAAAATTTAAGAATAACTGTATAATTAATAAAATAATATTACCAAGCATCTCTGACTCTTTTCGTGTCCGGACAAGCACAACAAGGTTTTAATTTTTTTGGTTCTTCGGCGGGCTTATTCTCCGACGATGGTGCAATAGATTTATCACTGACCAAAGGCATCATTTTATATGTTAATAAATACTGGGGCGAATTCAAAATTCAATAAAATGTTGCGTAAGTTGATGCACACTAGAACGGTGAAAATTAATAACTCAACCAGTTAGTCACAGTTCACAAATACGAATAATCTGAATTCAAGTGGAAAACTGAAAAGTGGAAAAAAATTTTCAAGTTGGACAATCAGTATTAATCATGGTAGATTACAGCCGAGGTTTATAGATAACGTACTTTATTATTTTAAGGTTAGGTATAATAAATTCTGAAGTAGTTAAAGCCACAAAGCTGTGATTGGAGCACTTTGGTGTTAAGCTTGATATCACAAAATAACCTAATAATCTAATGATAAAAAATATAATCTATTTTTAAAGATGGATCCACCTTGTAAGTTGTAAGTTTTAAATAGTTTATCCAGGTAAAAATATCTTGTGTACATCATATTTTTATGGTTTATATTATATTTGTGCCAAAAGACTAATATGCCGGGTTACATACATTGATTTATTTAATGTTGACGTTCTTTTATAGAGCGATACTCTTTATTACAAAATCTATTTATGTTTTTGAAAAAAAATTTTAATCATACTTTGAAATTTTTATTTTTTTGATTGACAGCATACATTTTTAATTTAATATTTTAATATAAAATATTTTACGATGCATTAAATAGGTACATAGAAACCGAATTTGGACAAGCAGTTTTTAAATTTTAAGTGTTAATTTACTACTCGTCCAAATTTTAATTTTATGTATAAAAATACTCCGAAAAGTATTCTGTTTCAGAATATGGAATTAAAAATGTAAGTTGTCCTACAAAAAAATATAAGTATTTAAAATTGAATTGTTTTCACTAGAAATTATATGAAAATGGTTTTTTCAGTAATATTTATAAATTTTTAAATAACGAGTGTAGTTGGGTAAAATCATTAATAATTACCCAGTATAGTGGTGATTCATACAACCCAGGTTAAGACTTATGTCCTTAATATTAATTGTGCAAGGTGAGGTATTTTCACATTTTTTAGATCAAATATTGGTATACCTATCTACAGGCTACAGCCGTAGAATCGAAGTGCACGATATTCTATAGGCAGAAAAAACCTAGGAAGACACGAATAAGAAATTAAAATAATGGGAAATAGCATTAGAAGTACACATTGTATATATATATATATAAAGGAACTAAAAATAAGTTGAGTAAAATATGCACGATTTTGAATTAAGTAGGTAATCAAGAAATTTATGGAATGTAATGAAAACGAAATAATATAATGTACGAGATGAATAGTTTTAAGTATCAGTGATACAAAATTATAGAAGAATTGTAGTTTCAAGAACCTAACTATGAAGTTAGAAATATAGTTATGAGTAGATGGATAATGTAGAGTAAAGTGTAAGATATTTGGATTTATAGTGTGAGAAGTCTACAAGAGGAATGAGGATACCATTGAGATTGAAAGGTATATTTTGTAAAACAGTTGTGTAACCAGTTACACGTTGTAAGGATCAAATTATTAGCCAATGGATAATAGAACAGAACAGAGAGTGAGTGTAGCAAAAATAATAATTATAATATAGCTGTTTGAAATAATTAGAAAGGATAGAATAGAAATTAATTAGGAATAGTGCAAGATAGTACTGATAAGTAAAGGCGACAAAGGAGTCATAATTTGTATTACCGATGTATAAATAGAAAACAAACTCTAATTTACCTCAAGACCCAGTTATTTAATCAAGAGTATATATTTCAAAGTTGAAGGTACTGTAAATAAGTTATAAATGTACAATAGATTGAAGAGATAATAAATGTATTATTTTTACAGATAATGTATTTTCTTCACTCATCATCTTTTAGATGAAAATGCATCAATTTTAATTTTATTATATTTTTAGATAGTAAAGTTGATCACAGTATTAGATTAATTGTAAGTTCTGACTATTATGCCAGTGAACTTAAAAATAAAATATAATGTACTATTAAAATAATTTATTAATCTTCTTAGATTGCTTAGATCGCTTTCAACATTAATGTAATAAAATTTAATACTCATCCTAGAACCTATTAGATGACAAGGTACGTTATATAACTATATAGGAGAACCTACATTCCTGTTTAACGCCTTCAAAAATATACATTTTAACATATATGATTTAAGATCTAATTTAAAAATTACTTTCAGTTTACTATTATTTATAATTGATACTCCTTCATAAGAAATCATCTTTAAGAATGAAAATCATTGTTATTAATATTGAAAGTCATAGAATACAGCAATATTATACAGGATTTATCAAAACATATAACATAATAATTGAAAATAAAATAAAGTATGAATTATAATTATTATCCAACATTCATAAAATCATACTTAAATAATTGTAATAATGAAACTTATAAACAAATGTATTGATGAACATATTATGATGATGTAGTTTAAAAATATAAAAATTACACTTTATTCTAATACTCAACTGTTATTATAATGTTTAAGTAACAGGAAAATTTTCATCGATAAAAATTACTTTTTACTTACCACTATTCTTGATTTTCTTATCAGGAGGTGGAGATGCTGCTTTTACTGGCTTTTTCTTCACCTAAACACATGATAATTAAAATAATGTATGTAATTTAATATTACTTTATGATGTATATAAACGTACAACCATAATCAAGGTATCATTTGTAATATCTTTCCTCGTTATCTGTAATATCATCTAACTTGTTCATCTAAATCTTCAACATTATCCATACCTTTTTATTCTTTTTACGTTGAATGTTGGTGCACTTTATTATATATGTCGGTAAGGCACTTTTCACTTTAGCTGGACAACAGACATGGATCTTTATGGCTGTACATGAAGATAGTTCATTAAGAGATCTCTAGCAATACGTAACCGAACGAAGTACACCGT